CATAAGTATACAGTACCGCTCGCGCAAGTGACATGTGCCTTGCGCATACTTAGATCTGGCCAACGGGCATCGAGGAACTTACAGTCCCACTAACCTTAGTAGATAGGTAGGTAGGGTCTGGTAGGGCAGGCATTCACGGTCGAGATGGTCAAGAGGGCTATTGTTTGAAATGTGGCTGGCAATCTCAGACGCACATGAGGTAGTTAGTCCCTCTACTAACTAACGTACCTTTGAGGCTGCGAGGACTTTTGTCTGTCGTGATCAAATGATCGTCATCAACATGCTTGTCAACTAGCGCTCGACTAGGGCTGTTGTCCTAACGAGGGTGGACAGGCCGTTTCGATTGGCTCAGAGCACCCTGGATGTGGTTCACAAACAAGGGACTCCCGTGAGCACGAAATCCACACGACGGCACCGAGCTGCCTCAAGTCTGCTCAAGTCTGCTCAAGTCCCAGTGGTGTCGGTCCGTATACTCTATACTTGGTGGACTACTCCTGAGCCCTGATCATTACGTGCGATCATTGTGTGCCTCTTCCTCCTTGTCGGTAGCCCGAGTACCTAGTAAGTGTCCCTCACTAGCAGCTCGTCCGCTCGCCCGCCCGCCTTCTGACCAGGACAGGGCTTGTGAGACATTTAGGATGTGTTCGCACTCTCGACTATGCTACCTAGTAGCGCTAGCATACTACTGGGAGTGAGTACGGAGTATAGAGTAGAGCTTTCTTATATGTTAGTAGTATGGCCTACTCCCGACCAATGATGGTGTATGCTGTAGAACAAATCTCTTGTTCGTGGTGGTCGTGGGATGATCGTCACTGTTGAGAATCCATCGGTTTCGATCTGACATCGTGCATGAGCCGTGGGCTAGCCCGGCCGTCCACCTGTACATGTACGCCAACCCGAGCATCCCACAGGGCCACAGCTACCGCAGTAGTCGCCTGCTGTGCTAACGTGTGACGCATGTACGTGTATCTGTAGGGGCAGGAGGATTACCGCTACATATCCGCACTCTACATTACTAGCGGCGGAAGAGGAGACATGGGATCGAGTTGCTACAGCGTACAGCGTACAGTAGCATACTTCTACGTACTTATATATGTATGTACAGTCGTCTCGTAGATGCAGATGCATACATGTACATACAATCCGAATCAGATCGTTGCCCCTTGACATAATAAGCCTCCTGGAATCGATGCAAACCTCATCGGTGCAGGAAAATTCAGGCACCGAGAGAACGAGGCCAGCTTCCTGTGTGTGGATCGATCACGAAGCGAAGAGAAACTCAATTGAGCCAAAACCCGCAAACTCCGCGGCCCACTAGACATTGGCGTCTCTGCATGGAAGATACGGAAGAAGGGATGGAGGAAGGGCAGAGAGCGACATGGACGCGGCACATGCCCAACCACATCCCCAACCACCAGAACTTTCATGTCTACCGTCTGCCACCTACCTAGTATCTGGGCTGTTCTCGAGTGAGCTTTTATCCACGGCTTCTCCTCCGCGGCAATGGGGGTGGAGAGTGGATTGGCAGGATCGCAGCGCTATACTGTAGTTGATTAGCGGATAATGCCAGCGCTAAAGGCACTAAGTACTGTACACTAAGTACCTACTGATATCTACCTACTAAGTACAGAAATCTTCGTCAACATTGCCTAGGTAGGTAGGTACAGTATCTAAGTAGGTAGTGTAGGTACCTGTTCCCCCCTCCTTACCTCGTACCATGCAAAGACCCCAGGTACGCGCGCAGACATGACGGGAACCGGCGCCGCAGCCTTCTTGTTTACATGTACCGTACCTACCTCACAATTGTATTGTCTTCGGCCAGCAGCATCAAGCAGAAGCAAGCAAGTATGATCCGCATATGTGCTGTAGCTCATCCAAGGGTATATAATACTATAGGCATCTCCTCAAATGTAAATAAATGTCTGCTGTCAAACCTCGACCAGACCTCGACATAGTCGTCCAAGCTCGATACCTATACTCAGTGCCTACTATAAGATAAGATCTACCTACATCTCGACAAGCAGAGAGTACCGTACTGAATACCTACCTAGTAGATACAGTGCCTAGTACATGTGAATGTAGATATACCGTACTTGATGTACCGGTATATTCATTGGCTGCTCCTTGCAAGTCTTGTTGCGCCATGAATACTTAGTACATATATACCTATCTACTGCCTGTAGTAGCTAGCAACCAATGTATAGGAATTAGGGACGCGATATACCTGCGCAATATACTACCTATACCTAATATGTATGTATTCTAGGGCGGGCCTGATCACACGGCACCGTTATCTTGGACCCTCTACACTATACCTCGAAATAATGGCTTTATTTGTGACAAATATTATAAGCTGAGGCTGGGAACCAGGACCCCCCCGAAAGACAGTTCCGCCCGAGACTTGTGTGAATCAAGATTGCTAAATTTGACAGCAGAACCACTTTCGAAGCCGAAATCTGATTGATGCAAGGGATCGAGCGTGAGATTACTGTATGGAGATCTGATGTTCTATTTTCAACCGAGGCCAGCGACTGGTGACGGAAACCCTTCAGCAACCCTTGAGACAACCAGGCAAATGAGCTCCCAAGATGTGACAACTCATACTCAGTAGCCCTTTGGGAGATCGCGATTCGGGAAATGCCAATCAAGATTCGGCTTGCTTTGGCTCCCCTCACGACTGACACGCAGGTTTATTTGCATCCTTTGAAATTGAATACCAGGGTAGCGCACATGCGGTCGCAATGCTCATTCCCCGTACGTCTCTAGAACGTGGCGATGCCTGCTATGCCGGTAAAAACAATGCACGGCGGCGGATTCCTGCTCCTGCGACGATGGAACAGAGCACAGGACAGGAGCAATATTCGGAAAGGCAATCCGAGTCGACCAAACTACCTCGACTACCTACCCCAACGATGGCCCCGCCGGCGTTATCTCCCCCCTGAAGCTGATGGCTCTAGCCCTGCGTAAGTAATCAGCGCCGGCGACACAACCAACGCCCACCACACTGGCCGGGTTCGCTGCATGAACCCCAGACTTGCGTCCCCCGAGCAGTACATGGCATTTAAATTTGGTGTAGAAGAGGCATGTACACTACTACTGGCGAGCATGCACGTTGGGGGATTCGTAGCCTAGGTATCCAAGATCCAGAACCACAGCACGCTACCTAGTAGATGCCGGTTAAGTATATCTCCGTTGCCTCTGCAGCCTAACACAACGACACGCATCCTGAAGACCCAAGGTGATCCGATAGCCCCGTTGTAATCAGACGCAACGTGCCGTAAAACCTGATGGTCAAAGGGGTGAGTGACGTCGGCGGGAGCAAAAGTCGCCCCCTTTCTCGGTAAGACTTTGGCGAGGCTATCGACCACCGACATGGGGGGTTACATGTCTAAGATTTATGAAGTGCACTAGTGTCGTAGTGTAAGCACCGGGGATGTAAGATCGTAAATCAGAACGAGGGGTCAAAGAGCACCCATCATGATGATGTGCGTTGCCATCCCACGAAATAAAGATTGAAGGAGCAAGCTCATTGCTCAGACCCTCTGCATTTCCCTACACTACCTTACAATAGAACAGACTGCAACTGCACTGCGATGCACTGCACCGCAGTACTGTAGCACCGGCAGGGTCCCTTCAGCCCGGCTGCTACCTGCTACTGTACACGACACTACGTACAAGGATGCGGCGGGTGTAGTGGTCGAATGCATGAAGAAACGTCGACGGGAAGCCGTGTGTTGCTTGCATGAATTTGCGGGGAATAAAACCACAGGCCTAAACCAGGGCACAGAACCCAGTCGTCGCATCTGGCTGGCGCAACGATCGCATCGCGGGCGTCGAACCGGGGACAGGCTTGAAAGAAATCACAACACACAAAACGCAAGTGCCCCGATCTCGTTTCTGGATTTGCTGGCTAGGTGGCTTGCCGACGATCGGTCGAGGGGGGAAGAGGAGATGAGGGATACCTATAGAGGGAAAGGGGAGAAAAGGAAAGGGGGGGGGGTTTCCATCAACGTCGTCTTCGCTGAGCGCAATATGCTTGCTCTGGCTGATACCTGGGTAATCTGTGTACCGCATGTTATCTCTCTGTCTTCCTCTCTCTCGTCTCTCTCAGCTTATTAGCAAACCGCCCTCTTCCTCGTCCATGCTCGTCGGTCATGGGCCCATTGCCGCCACCACTGCGACGCTACAGTGGCCCATTTCAACCTACCCACCCACCCTTCCCATTCCCAACCCATCCCATCCATGAAACGACATCCGTCCATGGCAATCGACTGGATGTAACCCGCGGCGCGCGCGCCAAAACGCACAGCCCACGTCTTCCCCGTCCCAACCCAAGGCCCTACCTACAGTATGTACGTGCATTTAGCGTGCTTGCGCAGAGAAGGGTAAGTGGTAAAAGGAAGAAAGAAGGTAGGGCAGGCAAAGGCCAAGACGTCCCCGGGTCAGTACGTCCCCGGCTCTTTGTTGGCTGGTTCTCCCCGCAGCAAAGGCCACCCGATTGGCCTCGCTCGTCGATTCACCTTATCAAAAGCATCATCATGTTCGGATTTTCGTGGCGCAGGTGGGTTCGAAACGGCGCGCTGGCCCTGCAAGCAATGCCGTCCGAGCGAGTGCTTGGCAGATGCAAAAAGCAAAGTCTAGATAGATCTCATTGTTTGGGTCATCGAACAACGAAAATGCAAGTAGCAAAGCAAAGAAATAGGCAGACAGATAGAGGCAGCAGTACTGTAGGCAGAGATGATGCTACCTATTGTCACCGTGAGTTGGGTTGAGTCGGGCATGTGGCGTAATTAAGTCTAAAAGGTTCAAGACATTGACCTCTCAGCGCCAAACTCGTGGTCACGTGTCTTGGTCTTAGACTTTGTTAGCTTCACGCTTAGAAAGTACCTACGAAGTAAGGTTAGGTTGGGTTGTCTTTGTTGCTGGGTGGCTGATGTCTATCATTGTTCTAATGCGCGCGAGACAATGCGATGGCATGAATCACGATTGTGCCAGTCTGAGACAAGACAACGGTAACGTGGGAAGAGCAAGGTGGAACGAAAGACCAAGCAGACTGACGCACGTCTGAATCAATAATATATTCTCGCTGTCTCAGTTTCACCGATGAATCAGCCATGACCATTGACAGCAGCAGCAGCATTCCGGAGCCGCGCTTATGACCTTCGCCACAGCCGTCTCTTATCTCACCTTACTAGTATCTCACATCTCAAAGGCAATACGACGCTATTATGCCGCCATCCAAGCCACCAGTTCCTAGGGCCGCCGAGCCCATCTACGGCCAGTCCTTCGATCCATGGAACTCATCATCTACAGGCCATCAACGCGCCGAGAATCGGCTGGGCGGTAGCACGGGGTGGCGGGACTCGCGGAACCGAAAGTTGATGAGCCAGTTCACCGGTGGCGCCGGGGGCGGCAAACGAGTTTCAGATACGGTGGGAGAAGGGTCGCAGGACTGGGATCCGAAAGCCAAAGCCCTGATCACGCCAGAGATGCGGTCGCGAGCGCAGAGCTCTGTATTCGACATGCTGGCGAACCCTGGGTCCATGAAGCCGTCCTCCTATTCTTCTGGATCTGCGCCTGCGCCGCCCTCCCTAATGACATCGAATTCGGCTTCGTTTTCGAATTTCGGGGAAAGCGCGTCGAAAAAGCCAGGTCCTAGCGATAGTATGACGGCCGAGGAACGTCTGATGCTCCAGCGGAAAGAGGAGGACGACGCTAGAGAGCAAGCCAAGCAGCCGCGCGGGATCTTCGACGGGGTCGTCGTGTACCTCAACGGGAGCACTCACCCGCTCATCTCCGACCACAAGCTGAAGCACGTACTCGCCGAGCACGGTGGAAGCATGTCGAGCCATCTAGGCCGCAGAAAGGTGACACATGTGATTCTCGGCAGACCCGCGGCTGGCGGATATGGTGCTGGTGGCGGCCTCGCGGGCGGGAAGCTGCAGCGGGAGATCTCGAAGATGAGCGGGCCTGCCGTCAAGTTTGTCGGCGTCCAGTGGGTGCTCGAGAGCATTAAGGCCGGTAAGAGATTGCCCGAGGCGCGGTTCGCGGACCTCAAGATTGCGGCCAGGGGCCAGCAGAGCGTGTATGGCTTGTACTCGAGACAGAAGGATACGACATCCGCCGATGTCGATGAGTCTCAGCCGCCACCGAGTGCGCAGCCGAGATGATGATTAGACGGATGGGAAGCTTTGAGGCTGCATATCGGGTTATGGGCATATGAGGATCTGCGTTCTGGGCGTTTCGGTAATCTAGGGTTCGCTGCATTGAGATATGAGGTGCATAGAAGAGGGGTTGCATGAAGCCGTCACTATGACTGGCGAACTGGTATAGATATATGGCATTCTGAAATCGAGGCTCGTTGCGTTAACAATCCCTGCTGTTCATGAAAAGATGTCGTGTAGTATATGAGAGTACATTGCGATTCTATCAATCTCTGGGGGTTCTACTGGCAAGTGTAGTACTTCATTTTCACCTTTTAAACCGGCTCTCATTCTTAACTCTCGTACGATGCTCCGCTACACCCCGTTCTTAGGATTGAAGGCTAGCTTGTAAGATTTCCAACCCTTAGGGTCAAGCGAGTCGGTCAGATTGCCTGTCCATCTAATCCTTTGTGGGACAAGTATTTGAAAAAATTTAGGGTACCTGTCAGCTCACTCATTCATGAAACTAGCGCCCGCTTGCTCGGTTATGGTACATCTTTTCAAAGCCATGATCGAGCTAAATTATTACAGCTTATCTTGAGAAACCCGAGGCACAAAATAAGTTGTATCACGGACGTAGAATACATTGACCTCCATCTATATGACATCTCCATATTTCATGTCTTTCAGTATGCTACGGAGTTTTATAGGCTACCAGGAGCTTCACGCGCTTGACTTCAGGTCAACTATACGTGCCTTCATTGCCTCGCTACAGATGAAGAAGATATCTGCCTGATAATATAAACAATATTTTAAACCCGATGCGATTGTACCCTATAGTGTATAGTTGGGCACGTCATTTCTGTGTCAAGGATATAAAATCATTAATGCTTCAGGCTTCTTGCAAAATCCGAGTGAACGTTCTCTAATAACTCCTTCTGATATCAATAAACTCACTCCCTGTCTTGAGCATTTATCTATTCACATGCGACTCAATTCAGAAAAAATGAATAATAATTCAAGCCAGGTTAACTACTCCATACAAGTTGCCGCTCAGCGAACTCAAATGCAAGCACGCCTAAACATAAGATCAAATTTCCGCTAGCTATCCGACTTTTCGCCTTACAACGACAATCCAATGTTTTATTTCTAAGGGATGTATTAAAGAGATATAATGCTATTTGTCATTACTCGTTATGTATATGATATACAATTTCCAGGCCTTTGTTCAGCTGTTCCTTGGCTCCACCTAAGTGTGATATCTGTTGATAGCAATTCAGCCCTGTGAAGCCACATCTTGCCGTGCAGCCGAGTAAGGGACTAAGCCCAAGCATTCTCACTGAGAATCTCCTTGCCCTCCAAAGGTCTGGTATCGGTCACGATAGATCCCAGAGCCTTCCTCATAATCTTTAAAGTGTCCATGTTGAGTGGCTCAGTGCAAAATTGATGCACTATCTTACAGCTATCCGCCAAGGTCAAGAACAGGGTTCTACTGAAAATTCTTTGTATGGGAGGTTTGTCAACACGTTTTATAGTGCTGTCTAGATACTCGGCGACCCGTCTCTCTGCTCATTTGACTTGCTTCGCTGGTGTGTCGAGCAACTTGGGGAGGTCTTTATAGGAATAACTTAGCGGCATTAATAAGAATTGCAGAATAAGAAGAGGGTGCGAGTGGAAGGACGAACGGATCTTCGACTATTGCTGTCTCGTGAGTGGGTAAGTGGGTGGAGAGAATAGCGATAAGCACTTAGGACTCTGTAATATTCCTTTGTGCGCTGAACCGACACCGACACTGACTGCAAAATCCGGAAAGATATATCTAATCAAAACAACTATAGTTTAAGCACTTCTATACGTACGTACTCAAAATTATATAGAGGTACACTGGCCTTTGCGATGAAACGGAGACTTGACCTACACTTGGGTGGGCTTTACGACTTGGCTGCGCGCATATAGAATCTTTTGCGAGATAGTCCTGCAATTATGCTCTAGCTAGATCAGTTCTTCTACGATAGTTCCTTGAAAATCGAGCGCCTTATATAAGATATGTAAGACTTTCATTAAGCCTCCCGCATACACTCAATTACAAAAAAAAAATACGCTGCCTATAATTATACCCTCTTCATCTTGAGTCGCAGCAGCCTCACATCCAAAGACTGCGCTCGACCATCCTCTCCTATTTCGAAAACCCAGTCATCTAGAGCGACTTGCCCGTACGTTGGAGCGCCCAGGGCGGTCCAAGCTTCTAAGCACGGGTCTTCAACCTTGCCTGGTTCCGTTGCGTTGAAGAATGTGGCCCTGAAGCCCAACCTGGAATCGTAAGTTCTGCATCCCGATTTAGACAAGCTAGTAGCTCGCAGATTTGATGGATAGAGCCTGGCATATTGTCCAGCACCGTATAGTTGTATAAGCGGACTCTCAGGCCCTACGACTTGAACTCCCCGACTAACCAGTTTCCTAACCAAAAGTCCAGGGCTATCTGACGGTCCTACTTCGATTACCGCTGAACTATTGGAAGCTTCATCGACGAAAGTCCCGACAAAATTCGACTTGGCTTCTTCTGCAGCCTGCTGCTCGGCCATAGGGAGGAAATAGTCACCGAAGACATTCAGGAGTGTATCTCGGACGCTAGCCACGTTTACAGTCGGTACACCAGCAGTGAGCACAATCCAGCCAAGGTCATGCTCGGGTGAGAGCACCAATGCCGCATGATAATTGCCTTCGTCGCCTTGTTTAGTGTAAAGCTGGCTGATGCGATTATCAGACAAGGTCAAATAACGAATTTCCCACGGTGCCCCAACAGCAGTGCTAAGGTATCCTGTTTGTGCCAAGGGTTTGAGCCATCGACGGGTTTGAGCTGGTGACAGTAGTTTAGACTGAAGCAGCGCTTGGCCGGCCTTAATCATGTCAGATGTTGAGCTGTACATGGATCCAGCAGGGCTGTTAAGGCCTAACTTCTCATCCCAGCCAACAGCAGTCGGGTCCCCACCTGGGATCACACCACCATGTGATGGTATGTCCTTATAACTGCTGTGGCTCATGCCGAGCGCTTTCAGGATATTGTTGGTTATAGCGCCGCCTATGGGGGCCCCAGTGATGGCTTGTTGAGCGTACCCAAGGAGTGCAAAAGCAATGTTGCTATACGCTGGAGATTGTGCTGTCGGATAAGAAGGATGCTGCCTCAAGAGATAAGAGAACATTTCTAGACACGATTTTAGTACATCTCGCAGAGGTGATTGATGAGGAACATTTCATACCAGTACGCGTACAAGTCCGGTTAGTTCCAGGTGCGCCACATATTGGAATTTCTGGCTTTTCCAGGACTGGAAACCCAAAAGCGGCAGCTTGGGCAAAGTCGAGTTCAGCTCCGAGGTCATTGTACGTAGCTAGAGGTATATGCGTTAGCTAGTTGTATAAACATGTGTAGTTAGATGATAAATGTCAATAACTAACGATCGCGAGGGATTCCAGCAGACTGGCTTGCAAGTTGGCCTAAGGTAACTTCATTCCACCGAATACAGTCGATGTCGTTATACACCTCTTGTTGGTTGGCCCCTTTAGCGCAACTCGAGTTTGCAAGCTCCGGGATATATTTGGTAACTGGTTCATGAAAGTACTCATCACCAGCTTCGATCAGAAATGACCAGACACTGAAAACCTTGGTTACGCTTCCGATGCGAAAGATAGAATCACGATCCACTCTCGATACCCCAATATCAACTGGAGGTGTGTAATAGTGCTCATACAAGGTCTTGTTTTCTCTAGACGAGAAGAGAGCTACTGCCCACGCAGCATCGTTGCCTTTCAAACTGGTGCTTCGAGACAGTTTCTCAAATTTTGCGATAGACTGGCTTAAGGCTGAGCTGTTCGAAAGATGTGCAGATGACGGGAATCCTGGTCCAGCCAGGGGGCACGTGGTCCCTAAAACATACGTAGCAAGGACCAAAAGGCCAAAGATCTTGGAGTTGAAAGACATTGTAGAAACTGTTGAACTTATTCAGGAGATAAGAGAGGATCCCGTTAAAAATGAGTTGTGCCACCAGGACAAACCTAAAGTTGGGAACTGGCTGAGTTATATATGCATACCAATTCAGAATATTAGTCTAAGTCTAAGAGTCAAACCATAAACAACGTGATTGCATATGAGAAGGATTCTCAGCAACTCGCAAATGCCCCACACCCTAGTTATGCTCCTAAGGTCTAAGGGCGCAATACATGGTGTTTTACACAGGAGCATCGGGAACATAGTGATGAACTCGTTTGACAACTAAGATCGGAAATGCCCCACTGCGAGAAAAGACGGCTTGGCAATTTCAATGGCTATCTTGAAGGAACAGTGCGCATGGATTGTCGCGTATTGTGTATAATTAGCATCCAAATTTCGAGGTGTGTTACATGGACCCAGAAGGTATAACTCACGCCTTTTCGGCAAATAATGTCTTGATATGGTTGCCTTGAACACCGTCTCGACTTTCTATTATAAATATATCCAGTCCTGAACCTTTTGAAGTTCTTTCTGAGCACCCAGGGGCACGAAGAAGAATATCTTCCTCCGCATCATCCTTGACCCATCATATCCCACGAGTGTTTCCGTCTCATCTTCTATATAAGAATCTCTAATCCTCTGTGAGTCGCTCGGTAGTGTATATTCTAAAGACGCGCTTTCCCACCAGCATTTGGGTGGCCATTGAGGTAACTCAATTCGATGCTCTCGCTCTATAACACGTTTGCCTGAGGCTTGAAGCAGCTTGGTATCCCACAATGACTCTTTTGCGTGACCGACAATTCTGAGTAAGGACCATGCCTCTAATCGAAGTTCTAAAAATCGACATTTGATAACAACGAAATACAACAAAGGCGCCAGACCCATCTCGAACTTGAAGAAACCAGATCTTTCGGTACCAGAAAGCCTAGTACGAGAGGCCTCTGCTCGTGCAAGCTCGACTATGCGCTCGAACTGAGCTCTAAATGTATCGGAAAACATTTCATCTCGATGTGATGAAATTTGCAACCAAACCTTACAGACATGCCATCGCGCCCTTAGAAGACGTATATGTGTTTGATTTTCGTCATTTTGTTCAAGGTCGTCAGCCATTTTTGAGAATATTGCATGCCATACGTCCAGCTCTTGACCTAGTTCTTGTTGCATCAAAAATAAGGAACTTGGTAATTCCGCCATGCCGACTGCACCTATTCGGAACGGGTCAAAAGCTCGAAGTATTGAGACACATTTTGACATGAGACAGTCCAGTGTCCCCAGTGCCTCGGAGAGGTTATGGATGCGATTTTGAGGGTATTCTAAGTATTGAAGGAGAGGGAAGTCTGCTATCGTGGCTCCAAAAAAGAACGGAAAGATCCGAAGATGATTCATGATACCCGAAATATCAGGCGAAGGGTGGTCCATTGACCTTAAAATGAGTAGACCACTGCAATGTCCCAGCATTAGCTCCGGTCATAGTAAGCGCAATTCTTAGATGTCTAGGTTATGGCAAGCTAAGAGGAAATTTTGGGGCCAAAAATGCGGCGCAATGGGTTAACGACAAATAAGACAAGTGTTGGGATACAAAAATATACTAACTGGCGGCAGTGTTCGATAGCTAATGAGGTGTTACCACGAAGGAACTCGATGCAGATGAACAAAATAGATATCAACAGTGTCGTGTCTGCGTCGAGCCGCTTGGAGGTAGCCACCTCTCTGATAGCCTTGTTGTAGTAGCGTAAAGCGAGGACATTCTCGACTAGAGTAGAAGAGTCATCTGCAGAAGGGTCAAATCGCTCGTACAGCAAGCTGACAGCGAGTACCGCAAATCTAGCAGCAGGTTCCTGAATGGCCAGCTGACAAACAGGGTTTGTCCAGAAGGAGTTCCCTAACGGGCTCGTCAAGGCTGGCGCTATTATACAGCGAAAGAAATCCAAAGAACGCAACTCGGTACTGCTAGACTCTGAGACTGGAATAGTTGAGGGCCGAACTTGCAGCAAACTGCTCCAGGATAACGACCCAAGTGGAGGGGCTCGGAAGCCTTCGCATATGCGACCACTAGTCTTGCATCGCAGACACTGGGGCCGACCCTCATCACATTTCACTTTTCGCGCCCTAGTTCTTGATGTCAGTGTTTAGTCGAGGCCAGACAAGACAACTGAATCAACTGACTTGCATGTAATGCAACCGGTGCGCACCCTTTCAAACCCTTTGCGCGGCATCACGAATCAGTTTAGTATGAACAACTGAAAACATTCGAGATCTCCCGAACTGCGGGAATGCACAATTTGGGACATGTCGAGGAAATAGATGCCTATCACAAAGCGTAACAACTACGAAGTTCAAAGCGGGTCACTTTGACCTGGCTTCACGATTAGCCCCTGAAACTGCCTACTAGTAGGATCCTGTGGGGCATTTGCGAGCTGACGGCCTGACCAGGTGGCGCAATATACTTCAGGGGGCCGATCCCGGCAGGCTGAGGTAATGGCTTCATATTCATAGGCATCTAAATATAATTTTGTAAGTATGTAAAAGAGAGCTTGACAGGCTCGAGCACAAGATACTGTAATGAATAACCCCGGATTTTTAGGTACTGTGATAGCTTGGGAAAGTCAGCCGCACTACCCTTACCTCTGTAATCAGCTTCTTAGTTCACTAGCGCTGGGGCCACTAGGAAACAACCACACTCTTGGCAGCAGTGAAGCTATAACCGATTTAATATACGGAGCCACAAGGTCAGGTTGTCATATGCAGTTGAAACCAACGGTTAGGTAAGGAGGCCTAATAGATAGAAGGAAATATTAGATTGTATGTAGCCCAGAGTGCATAAATAGCCCGGTTATCTCCCATTTTGGAGAAACAGAGAAACCAAAGCCCTACAAACCCCTAGTAAATTATTAGATGGAATATGACCGAGTTCCAAGTCCTCTGCAAGATCCCTTGTCGCATAGAAACGCCGCGTCAAGATATAATAATGATTGACTCTAATTAATGCTAACGGTCTATAGGTACTAGTCAATCTTAGCAATTCTTTGTCAACTTGTTATCAGCTTTTTGACGTCAACGAGTTGAGTTTTAGCACGCTTCACAAGTCGTGTTGAATAGGTTCGTCAAAGGGAGACAAGTGTATGGAATAAAGGGGTAATTCGCATTTGCTAGCGGCCAATTCTAGCTTAGAGACACGAAGAACAGAGTTCTTCGCATATCTGTTGTCAGCATGATTTCGGATAATGGTGCTTCTCACAAGCCGAGAAAAGACTTATGGGGCATTGACAGCTGAGAAGAGGCTAGCTCTCCTGCCTCAACACCAAAGCAGACTTCCGGAGCAGAGTCGGAGCCTCCTCCAGCGTTGCCATACAATGTGGCGTAGGCGTCCAGTTCTATGTACTCTATGTGGTGCTCAGTGTGGTTCATAACTTCACCTCTAGATGTTCATATTATTGAGACTGGAGCTTATACGATTGGGCTCTTATATAGGATGTTGATTGACTGCATTATGCAGCTTTACCTGTTATAATATATAAAGCAAGACGCAAACCTTATGTAAATATCTTTGCAAGCTCACCTACATGCTTGGTTTGCTCTGACTTGAATAATGAGCGTTAAAATTTAATCACACATAGTTCTCTGGGTTGGAAGTTTGAGGTATAGCAACATTTCAGGCCATATTAACATATGTGAATACAATAACAGATCGGGCCACTTTCGTAGATTGACATTGACTATCTGCGTATGCGATTGTCATGGACGAATTGTGGCTACTTAGAGACTAGTTACAGACCTCCATTGAACAAAGTCGTACGCAAGTCTCGAACTGGAACACTGGGAACAACACCACACAGCTATCCTCTGCATTAACAACACATTGCGTTTTCCGTAGCTGATCCGTTCTATATAGATTATTCTGGTAATCTATTCGACCAGCACATCTCCCCTTAACATCGGTATATGCGGAGCAACCACCCTGTACCTCATTGATCCCACTGCAAGGGAGATTACACCGCATTTCATTGGATAGCATGGCAATACACTGAGTTCACGAATTTGGGTCAGGCAGCAAGCAGATGGACACGTAAAAGGTTCGGCCCTGAGAAATTCACTAATCCTCTGATTTCTTGTTTGCCGCGGACTATGAAAGAACATTTTCCAGGATTATCTCACCTAAGCAGGTTCCTGATATTCCCTATATAGTCGTCGAAAGAAAAATCATGATGTTTGACAAGGTATAAATATTCGCGACCGGTTACTTATTGCCCTAATTGCCCTCAAGTACTTGAGTTTCCTTGTATCAAGAAAGACGCAAAAACATCACTCCCCTACATTTACTATAAATACATATAAGAATCAGCTTGCCATAGTTGTGTAGCACAAAAATCATGGATCCTCACTCCCATTTACGCGAGCAGCACCTCACTACCAGCCAGGGATATGCGCTTTCTAGTATTCTTAATCACAGCAATGATCTTGTTGACAAGGTAGTTGATATGGGTGATAGAGTGAAGGGCACGGAAAACGAGTCTGAAAAGACTTCAAAACTGTTTAGGGCGATCAATGAAGAAGTAGGCAAGAGGCGCCTCTTCGTTTGCTGCGACGGCACCTGGGTGAATGCTTCGGGTACCACCGCACCGCTGACGAACGTAGCGAGATTCGCGCGCGCGATCGATCGATTTGGCCTCAATCAAGAGCATCCATTAAGCCCCGTTACTCAGGTGATATACTATTCAGCCGGAATAGGCTCCGAACCGGTTCTGAAGACAAGAGTGGACAGTATCTACTCCGGCATTACAGGAGCAGGTTATTACGAAGTCACATTACATTTCCATGTCCTCTACACTATCACGAGCTTGATGCTAATGACTTCTTGACTACTCCATAGGGCTGGAAGAGGACATCCTTAACGCCTACTGTTTCCTTTGCAACAACTACAACTTCAGCGCCCGAAACGACGAGATCATCCTCATCGGCTTTTCACGAGGGGCTTTTACCGTCCGCTGTCTTGCTGATTTCATCAGCCAGGTGGGTCTGCTTCAGCGCAAGTCGCTGCCTTTCCTATCTGTCTTGTTCCAGAGATGGATGGATGCCAAAGAAGAAGAAGATAGAAAAAGGATGAAGTTGGAGATCCGAAAGATGAGTCAGGAGTTTTCTCTGCCGGTAAAGATCACGGTGCTGGCTGAATGGGACACCGTCAGCGCCATCGGTCACGTGGGCTGGAGGAACAAGTTTTCCTTCATGAAAGGGACGGTACCGGAGAATGTCCAGAATGCGTTTCTAGCGATAGCTCTCAATGAAAGGAGGGGTAGCTTCATGCCGATGCTATACAGCAAGGCTCACCGTGGGACTAGTGTCGCGCAGTGCGCGTTCTGCGGATGTCATGGGGACATTGGGGGTGGTAATCTGGATGCTGGGCTCTCTACTGTATCTCTGTTATGGATGGCGGCGAAGGTGCAAGGAGCTTGCCAGGTCTCGTTTGATAGGACAGCTCTCCTTCAGATGGTCCAACCACCACGGCCTAACGCGAAGTGGTGGTATGGAAGAAAGGATCACGAGACAGAAGCTATGAACTTGCTATGGTCTAAAGGTATGTCGCGTTGGCAACGGCGTCTCAGCATAAATTATCTGGGCTAAACTAGAGTAGGTGACATCAATGAAAGTCTCCAAGGGGTTTGGTTGTTGCCACATCTTCTCACACTTGGATGGTCTAGCGGGTCTCGTAGGAGGCACTTTCGAAAGACATTCGGGCGGCGAGAAAAGAATACGACGCGGGGACAACATAAGGAGAAAGACCAAAAGGAACGGCCCGAACACACGCAAAAGCAGCCGTCTGCCAAGATATATCGAGCTACCTACGACAACGGCACCATTGACGATGCAATTAGGGGGGTCAGCGAGGATGTCACTGACACAATTAAAGATAGTTTAACAAGGGCGCGCAGGGGTAGCAAGTTGAAAGACACGCAACATGCCACAGCCAACGTTAGAACAGTTATCCACGTAAATGGTACGGGAAGCGCTGAGACCGGGTTCTCGGCAATCATCGCCGCAGATTTCAAGGCTTCTCCAAGCGACCAAGAAGTCTCGATAGACCCACGCACAATCATCGATGTCAACAATACCACGGCTGAAACAACATTTTGGGATAGCCCACAGGGAGATGATCACGTCGAGTGCAGTCTCAAAATCCACTTCACGGTGAAAGAGCTAGTCAAAGAACTCAGGTATAGATCGAAAGAAGGTGCCCTCGAACGATTGTCGGAGAGGCTCGGCTTGCTAGGACATGAGCGATGGCAACTAGCCGAGTATCTTCCCCAAGAGGAGTCCGACGAGAACGAGAAAAGGCTATGGGAGGAATGGAAAAGCCAGGTAGACATGTGGCACGCCAGTAACGAAGGACGAAAAGGGGGCTGGGACAAGGACGTCATGTACTGGAGCGATGTACTAGCGAGGTTCGACAAGGGAGACAGCCCAGATTCCCAGGTCCGGAAGGAAATGGTGCAATGGGAGGTATGTACAGACCAGCTCTACCGCGTCGCTGATGCTACTGCGGCTACGGCTCAAGCGGGTCTGCGGACGGCCGCGGCGAACACCACAGAAGCCGAGAGCGAGCTGGAATTCGCTGCCCGAACGGTGACCAAAGTGGCAGAAGTGGCCGATTTGCAGAATACGGGCAATGAAGATGTGCTGAGAAAAGTCTGGTCGGTCGTGGATAATGTCAAAGGGGCGTTTGGACGGGTTCCCATTGAGATCTTGACGGGAACTCTGGCGAAAGTTGTAGCTGGAGTTGCGCAGATCTTGATAGAGGACAACAAGGACGACGACGACTCCTCTCAGCCAGCGGCGAAGGGGACAAGCGGCTCCGAGAAAGATGTCCAAAAGGCGATCCGATCGGCCACAGGGCAGCTGGCTGGCATTGCCGGGGTCCTAGCGCAGGCACTCTATCCTGCTAACATTGACCCCATAATCGAGGGAAGCGGCGAAACTAATGAGAAGGATGACGGCGATTTAAGAAACAAGATCTTCCAGGCTAAGGAGGCAGCCGACCGCATGGTGCAGAGCGCTAAGGTGTTGCAGAACGTCAGCTCGCCAGATACGGACGCCTGGGAAGATATGAAGAGCTACGCCGTCAGAGCCAGGGAGGCGGCAGAGAGGGCAGCAAAAGCAATAGCGAATGCGACGATACAATGGAAACTTACTGATGAGCAGAGAAGAGAAGCACTCTGCTATAGAATAAGTTACCCCAGTTTGACGACGACCGACGATGGGAGAGCGAAGGATCTGTGAACCAAGTCCGATGTTTTCTTGATATATCAATGTGTCTAGAATCCTGAATATGGTAACGAAACTTCCAACTTATTTTATATAAAACTGAGTCGATTGATCCTGAGTGATAAGGCATGAGTACCATTTTATGTTGATATATACTCATCATTGGTACCCCAACGAGCAGTTAGCTTGCATTGTCATAACTTGCCTGACTGTATGCTTTCCATATTCAAATATCGAGTTGCTAGACATGTAGGCGAAATTCTATCTGGCATCGCAACTAAATTGTCATTTCCCAAGGAAAGACATTCGTGGATATTAGCACTTAAAGTGATGGGTATCAATTGAGATCATTATTGTTGACATAATTCGTGATAAGAACCATAAACGATAGCCCAGGCCAGCAAACTCTATGTAATGTTACAGCTTGCACGCGTCCTTCTTCGCGGTCGTTGTAGCTTCCGTAACTGGGACCAGGCTTGCAATGAAAAATTCAAGCCAACCAGCAACGCCCCAATTAACAAATGTTTATCGTACATTCACCTCATGAAGTGTACCACAATGGGCATGTAGCGTCTCTAAGACGGTTAAATTCTGCCGGATGGGTAATCACTACATCTGCGGTCTGAATACCTAGTCTGACTCGGGTTCTTCCTCGTCGCTGGTTGCCTCGATGTTCATCTTCTTTTTCTTGCGGGTTTGATCCTTGGGTGGGGATTTGGTGGCAGGCTTGGGGGCTGATTTATTGGAGGACGTCGCGAAGATATCGGGCACATCATGTCCCTTTGATTGAAGCTCTGCATTGAGGGCTGGGATTGCCGTGAGGAGATCGTTGTATTGCTCAAGAGTTAGCATAATGCCCTGCAAGGTCAGTAACGATTAGCTTTGACGTCGACATAAATTCTGTCACTCACTTCATCGGGAGGAGGGCAGCATGCGCGCCAGCCTTCAGCGCGTCATATGGTCGGAAGTTGTCATCATGGATGATACTAACCTTCTTTGTTGGCTTGAGCTCTCCGCCAGCATCAGAGTAGTATTCTCGGAAGTTGACGTAGTTTTTGCCCTTGAAGTTTTGGATAACGACTCTTCGAGTAGCGCTGAGCTATGGTGGGTCAGCAACGAGATGTACCTGAAAAGGGCTAACTGAATAGTATGGAGGCGACAGGAGACTCGTACAGGCCAGAATGAGTTGCCCTCATCGTCTTTTCCCGGCTCGGCGGCTGTCTTGGTTTTGGTCTTCTTGCTCGGCTGAGCGACTTCCTCGTCGCTGGACACGTCGGCATGACGCTTTTTGGAAACTCTACCCATTCTGGCGTGACGTAGGCGAGCTGGCTATCGGGACGGGCTCGTACGAGAAATCCAACGCAGGTGTAGCCGGAAAAGAGCTTGAGTCGACTTCAAGAAGAGGAGATATGGATTTGTTACTCGTCCTGAGGAATAGTATAGAGTTGACGCGTTGGAGGTGATCTTTGATGCCAAATTCCTGGAGAAGAACGTGAGGACGCGACTTTGGATTGATGCCCAGAGGCAGTTACATCTTAGATTAGCGTCTTCTGTCGCATCGCACCTTCTAACCACCTAAATGTACCTACCATACGATGTACCTAGACTTACTTGGTACCAGATTGGGGGTAGGCGCGCAGTGTAAGTAGAAAACACTTCTTTACTCTTGTTATCCAGCTGTATGGACAAGTACTCAGTACGCCGTACATATGTCCTATGGCTGCTACCGGTACCTCAACACGCGAGCCAAGTGCCAAGACCGGCACAGACCCGGCAGCCCCAGCAGTCGAGATCCTTACAGTACTATACTGCGTTCCGGGGGCAGAGGGGCAAGCTCCTCCTGTATCATTAATTACTTACCGATTTGGTTAGAGTGTCTATTAAGGGGGACATTACCTAAGAATCCACCTAGGTAGGTAAGAATGCCATGTCTGCTATAATTGTACGGTATACCTACCATAGGTAGCATGTTTCGTGTGTACTAGTTGAGAGGTACATCGTAGCCGTCCTAGATTCTTTCGGCTTCATCGATCCTGCAAGTAACAGACACGCTATTGTTTCAATTTCTTTTCCGTTTCTTTCTGTTTCTGACTTCTTACACTCGTTCACATATGGTCTGCGGGCTACGAAACCTGCGTGAATCCTCAATTCCATCTTAAGCTTATCTTTCTCGTGTAAATGTCATAGTCATTCGCGTGAAACTTGATACTATCTTTCTTCGGTTTTAATGTGTATCTCTCGCCCAGCCATAGTCCTTGACATGCCACGACCTTGATATCTATCTACGCTGTCTTTAAACGCACAATCTCAAACCCATCGATTTCCAAAGCCAAATGACTGACGTCGGGCGCTCACCCTCTGGTGGTTCGCCCGCCGGGTCCCAGAATCAATCCCCCACGGATGCGACTCCTCCAACCTCGACTTCCGATCACGCGCCCCCTGAGCTGTCTACAGGGCTGCCTTCCTTGACGAAAGATGAAACGAAGGGCAAGATCCAGTCTTCTACCGGCGAAGATGATATAGTTACAAGAACATTTCAATTTCTCTCGACGGCGACGCCGGCTACGCTCGGCGCTATTGCTGTGGCCCTCGCTGCCATCACATACTTCATCCTCGGCCGGATAGGACTGCTGCTGATCGGCGCCTTTGCCGGTGTAACTTCCTTTGTCATATGGGAGTCGCAACATCCCGAAGTTGCGCGTGCTGTTCGAGGGGAAAAGAGACATGCTTTTCTAGACCGGCTGCTTGATAATACGTACGGTGACGTAGGGGCAAAACTACAATACGACGAGGAGAAAGATTTATCGGCGGCTCTACAAAGCTTTGACGATTTTCAACCCGAAACAAGGATCGCCTTACATGAGCTGGTCGATGCGGTTATTCGGGACTACGTTGATTGGTGGTATGGCCCAATCGTGCCTTCAGACAAGTCGTTCCCTCTAGCTTGTCGCAGGACCTTCACGCAATTTATCCTCAGTTTTTCCAATAGGTTGAGACGCAAAAGGCCTGCCGATGCGTTTGTTGACTTTGTCACCCATTCCTGTTCCATCGTCATTGTGTTTTTCTCTGAAATGGCAGCTGCATATACTGAACTCCCGGCTGACACGAATATGACGGCCGCCGACGCAATCTACAATTACTTGGCCACGCATACTGAAGCGCCTCTGTCAAATCTTTTGAACCAGCGACAACAGGCGGCCAAATTCAAAATGGTTGCGGAGGACCTGCTTGGCTTCTTAGAAAAATCAACGTACGATTGCGACCCTGCTAGAGCTTTCTTAAGAGAGATCCTCTCGACCATCATTCTCGAAGGCACTTTGCAGACTTGTTCAAAAGCGGACTGGATTAATGGTTGGATAGTCTATCTTCTAGAATCAGGAGAAACCGATCTTTCTCAGGCGATTGACGAGGCTATACAGGATCAGAAAGCATTCGGCGACGTGGACGGGAATGTGGGAAATATCGGTCTATCAAGAGGTAACCGAAATTCATATGAGCTGGACAGACAACGCCGAAAAGATATGGTCCATAAAAAGAAACTATCAAAGGCTGATGAGGAGATGGAAAAGGCTACGGAAGAGATGAAAAGACTCAATGAAATGATTGAGGAAGCTGATCGTACGAAACCTGCGCTACAAGTGACCACAAGCGAAGCGTCCAACAGCCAAAACAACATCGAGAGAAATGGTAAGAGAGACTCCCGTATGGATTTGGAAGGTGGCAGGATGATGAACTCGATTTCATCTAAGAATGGCTCGGAATCGACACCTGATTCGTTGCAAATGGACAATACGGATGCTGAACACACGTCTAATACTGCAATATCTACCAAGCTGCCCGCAGACTCTTCCAATCAACCCGCCCCGCCGATTAATGTTCAGGAACTTGCTCCGGCTCAGACGTTCACAAATTTTGATCAATTAGTGCCACCGCCTCATGAGGAAGATGGCGAAGATAGCAAGTCTACTGGGCCACCCCCTCTGACGATACATAATGCTTCTATTACTATACACGATGACACAGCCGCAGATAGTGGCCGCTTACGAAACAAGCCGTCCTGGGAATATCTCCTGCAAATCGAACCATCCTCTTCACACCACTCCGGGTGGATGATCATGAAAACCTACATGCAATTCGAAGGCCTCCATGAAAGTTTAAGACGGATAGCAAACGTTTCAGGCGCAACGGCATTCCTAGAAGCACATTCGCAATTTCCAAGCTGGAAATTACACACTCGGTCATCACTGCGAGGTGAATTAGAAAGGTACATGCGAAATGCGTGTAGCGAAAAGGCTTTGGCCGAGTCGGAAGCTATGAAACGCTTCCTGGACAAGGGGCAAGATGCTAAAATGGGCATCAATCGTGGGTTCTCCTTCGAGTCTATGGGCAAAGGAATGCTGGATGTCATCCAAAACGCTCCCAAGGGAGCTCTTGACAGTGGTAAAGTGGTAATGGGTGGCGTGACCGGAGTTTTCGGCAATATCGGACTGGGCCCAAAGAGGTCTACCAATGCCTCTTTGCAGCAGATCGAAACTGCTCAGGGGAGTGGTTCGCGCAGCCCGAGCAGTACGCGGCCCGTGTCTTTGCCCGTTCTCCCAAGGGCGGACACCAGTCCGATCAATGGATCGAAGATTTCCAGGGATAGCCTTGATAGCCAGAGATCCTCTATAGTCTCAGTGCAACCTAGCAAAATTCCTCCAATGGACGGACGTCGTAGCTCCCAAGCAGATCTGGACCTTGACAGTACTCTGCACCCGGCCAGAGCAGATAGGTGGGAACGAAAATCGTCTGTGAGTGCGGCTAGCAGCCGTGTACATAGCCGGGCTTCGAGTGCAGCGGCAGCACGCTCACCGTTCCGTTCACCTTCGGAAGCCAGCCTCAGTAATCTAAACCTGCCACCTCCACCCAACGAGATCACTGATGATTATGGCTCGCCAACCAGTACGCGACTTAGTCTAGATAGCTATCCCCGGTTGAGCAACTCGTTCAACTCTCCAATCCGCACGTCAATAGACCAGCCAATGAGGGCTTTGCAAACCAATGGTGCCGCGAGGCGACCTGTCAAGCATTTCCCGCCACTATCCGAACAGGAAACACGAGTAGCAATTGAGCTTCTATTCGCTGTCATAACAGAGCTCTATACCCTGTCATCCGCATGGAATATTAGAAGGACATTGCTCACAGCGGCAAAATCTTTCTTACTTCGGCCCGGTAATCCGTCCCTCGTATCTATCCAATCACTAATCCAAAGTTCACTGCTCGATGCCAACACGTCCGATGATGGCCTTGCTACGCACATACGCAAACTGCGAGAGAACTCGTTGCCAACAGAAGAGGAGCGCAAGGCATGGCCAGCCGAGCTCACGGCCACGGAAAAGGAGGAGCTTCGAGAAAAGGCCCGGAAGCTATTCATCCAAAGCAGTGTGCCCGCCGCGCTTATGGGCATTATGGGCCAGTCAGCTACGAATGAGGCTCTGGGGCGAGTCTTTGATTGCCTGCAGATTGAAGAGGTCGCTCGCGGCTTATTCTTTGGATTGATCCTACAGGCTGTACGAGTGGTGACACATTAACTGGCGTGGTGATAACGAGGCTATGTATTATGAAAAAGATGTCACGATTTTGATGTACATTACATGGGAGAATGGCGAGAGTAAAAATGCGCGCGCATTTATTCCGCATGCGAGAGATACAATTAACTTAATGAAAAACCCATTTCGACCACGATTCAGAGCTGAGGCATTGAAAACTGCATCCGTCTCCCAGCAGAAAGTCCTCATAGATGTTTCGGATTTACTCTAGGTATGTTCTTATCTATGGTGAATGTCGCTAATTGTAAACAGACCCGAGGCAAGCTGCGTGGTTACGTAAACTGAGAGAGTATATCACAACGGACTTCCGCCTCCGAAAAGAAGCAAATCCTCGGCGTGTTGGTCGGTCCAACCCATAATGGAATTAATCACCCTGGCGGCGCGCTTGTGGACTGCGGGGCAGTTAGAAAATTGGCGGGGTTCCTTGAGCGTGCCCATGACAGCATTGGTAAGCTCACAACGACAATCGGGCATGCGCTCCGATATGCCCCGGCTCCGCTACCCATCATTTCTTGCCGTGGACGATTGGATCGTAATGTTGAAACTATAAGTAGAGCTGAGGCAGCGGTTGCATGCTCAGTTGTCGTGTATTCAGTAATTCAAACCTTTAATTCCTGCGCTTTTGTCCAGCCTCTAGAGCCCACTAAGCTAACTACCTGCTTGAGCCCCTTCTCATCCTTACCATCAGCCTACCACTTCATCTTTACTCTCTTTTTCTTTACACCGTTCAGTCTAGCCGTCAATATGAGCCCAACGGAACAACAGCGCGGTATTCGCATTGCGATAGATCGTGGCGGCACCTTTACCGACTGTGTTGGAACGCTGAATGGCGAGGATGTCGTGATAAAATTGTTATCAGAGGACCCTGCAAATTACGACGATGCGCCGCTGGAAGGGATACGACGCATTATGAGCCACTTCCAGAACCGGGAGATTCCGCGGGGCGAGCCTTTAGATACCTCACAAATTGATAGCATACGCATGGGTACCACAGTCGCGACAAACGCCCTGCTTGAACGGAAAGGAGAGAAGATTGCGCTAGTAGTTACCAAGGGATTCCGTGATTGTCTTACTATCGGAAACCAGAGCCGACCGAAGATTTTTGATCTTGCTATCAAGAAACCCGACGTCCTATATGAAGAAGTTGTCGAGATAGACGAGAGAGTGACACTTGAAGACTATGCGGAAGACCCGGTAAGGAATGTTACTAAGGCTGAGGTGAGAGCTGGTTCTCCCGAAGCCGCCAAGTCAGAGCTGGTTATGGGTCTTTCTGGCGAAGCCGTCCGAGTTCTTGAGAGGCCTCCAGAGGATAAGATCAAGGACCAACTGAAGAACATATATGATAAAGGCATTCGGAGCATAGCCGTGTGCTTAATGCACGGCTACACCTTCCCCGACCACGAAGCTATGATCGGGAGAATCGCGAAAGATATCGGTTTCGAGCATGTCTCACTGAGTCACGAGCTGATGCCCATGATTAAACTCGTCTCACGCGCGACGAGCGTGTGTGCTGATGCCTATCTCACACCAGCCATCAAGAAATACATTTCTGGGTTTCAAAAGGGCTTCGTTGGTGGGCTAGGCACACGGAGCGTCTTGACAGAGAAAGGCGACAGGGGCGCTAGGTGCGAGTTCATGCAGAGCGATGGCGGACTGGTTGATGTGGAAAAGTTTACCGGTCTGAAAGCTATTCTATCGGGTCCGGCTGGTGGGGTGGTAGGGTATGCTATCACAAGCTACGACGAAGAGACTAAGATTCCTGTCATTGGATTCGACATGGGCGGCACCAGTACAGATGTTTCTCGATACGGTGAAGGGCGATACGAGCACGTGTTCGAGACGACTACAGCCGGCGTAACCATCCAATCCCCTCAACTCGACATAAACACCGTTGCTGCTGGAGGCGGAAGCCGCCTCTTCTTCAAGAACGGGCTCTTTGTTGTCGGCCCCGAATCTGTCGGCGCTCACCCTGGCCCAGCCTGCTACCGAAAAGGTGGACCTGCCGCAGTGACAGACGCCAACTTATTCCTCGGCCGTCTTCTGCCTGAATTTTTCCCTAAGATATTTGGCAAGAATGAGGACGAGGGTCTAGATTACGAGGCTAGCAAGAATGTTATCCAAGAACTTGCTGACCAGATCAACCAGGAGACAGGAAAAAATCTTAGTCTAGACGAGGTGGCTTACGGCTTTTTGACCATTGCCAACGAGGCCATGACGAGACCAATCAGATCTATTACCGAAGCCAAGGGACATGACTCTTCAAAGCATCGCCTTGCGACGTTTGGTGGAGCAGGTGGTCAGCACGCTGTTGCTATTGCTGATGCTTTGGGCATCAAACAAATCTTGGTACACAGATATTCATCCGTGTTATCAGCATATGGTATGGCTCTAGCAGACGTTGTAGATGAGAGACAAGAGCCCGAATCCAAAGTTTGGCAAGACAAAGGCGATGTCGTCGATGAACTGCAAGGTAAAATGGAAAAGCTTAAAGAAAAGTCACGCCAGGCACTCCGTGATCAAGGGTTCGAAGATGACGAGATTGTGTTTGAAGAGTATCTCAATATGCGATACCGGGGAACAGAATCTGCTCTTATGATCGTCAAGCCTAGTGAGGCAGAAGCTAAGGAATCATTCGACGGCGATTCCTGGGCATTTGGCAAGGCATTCGTGAAACACCATCGTTACGAATTTGGGTTCACTCTTGACGAGCGTGATATTATCGTCGATGATGTACGTGTGCGAGGAATAGGCAAAAGCTTCCGCTACCAGGAAAAGACGGTCGACCAACAACTAAAGGAGGTCAAGCGTCAATCTGCGGGAGATGAGAAGGCTTATCGCAAGTCACAAGTATACTTCGAAGGGGGCCGCCGAGAGACTCCTCTCTATAAGTTAGAGGACCTGGCCGTCGGCGACGAAATCACTGGTCCCGCTGTCCTCGCAGATGGCACGCAGACTATCGTCGTCACGCCTAATGCCAAAGCGTTGATTCTACAAACACACGTTATTATTGACCTGACAAATGAGAGCGGCAAAAACGAGTATGTATCCCACAAAATCATTACATTTAACCAAAGCTAAAACTTGTATGATTAGGTCCGAAAAGAAGGGGTCTACCGAACGAGAGGTCGACCCCATCATGCTCAGCATCTTCGGCCACCGCTTCATGGCTATTGCCGAGCAGATGGGTAGAGCTCTACAAAAGACAAGCGTCAGCACTAACGTGAAAGAGCGACTTGATTTCTCATGTGCCATATTTGACGCCACCGGAGGATTAGTTGCGAATGCGCCGCATTTGCCTGTCCACCTCGGATCGATGTCGACTTGTGTTAGAACACAAGCAAAGATCTGGGAAGGAAAGTTGAAGAAAGGAGATGTGATAATCTCGAACCATCCATCATATGGCGGGACGCATTTGCCGGACATTACCCTCCTGATGCCTGCCTTTGATGCGAAGGGAGAGAAAATTTTGTTCTACGCTGCCTCGCGAGCACACCACGCGGATATCGGCGGTATCACAGCTGGTAGTATGCCACCTCATTCCCGTGAATTGTACCAAGAAGGCGCTGCAATCAAGAGTGAGAAGATTGTGAGCGAGGGTAAGTTCAATGAAGAGAGAATAACAGAGTTGTTATACAAGGAGCCGGCGCAATATCCTGGGTGTAGCGGCACCCGATGTCTGGCAGACAACATCAACGATCTCAGGGCACAGGTATCTGCGAACCAGAAGGGTATCTCGCTCATAGAGAACCTCATAGAAGAATATGGAGAAGAAACCGTTCAGTTTTACATGGTTAAAATCCAGGACAACGCTGAGCAATGCGTGAGAAAACTACTGAAAGACGTTTACAAGAAATTCGAAGGCAAGGACCTGTCGTCAGTGGATTACATGGACGAGGGCACGCCAATCCGCCTCCGTGTGACGATTGACCCCGAAAAGGGTGAGGCTATCTTCGACTTCGAGGGCACGGGGCCACAGGTCTACGGAAACGTCAATGCGCCCGAGGCCATAACGTACAGCGCTATCATCTACTGCCTACGGTGTCTGATATCTCAGGACATCCCGCTAAACCAGGGCTGTCTTAAACCGATCCACGTCAAGATCCCGCCCAAGTCACTGCTTTCTCCGTCGACTGGCGCCGCAGTCGTCGGCGGCAACGTGATGACGAGCCAGCGCGTCACAGATGTCATCTTCAAGGCCTTCGAAGCGTGCGCGGCTAGCCAAGGTGACTGCAATAACCTCACGTTCGGCTTTGGTGGCAACCTGTCCGGCGAGAAAGAGGTCAAGGGCTTCGGATACTACGAGACTATCGCGGGTGGCTCCGGTGCCGGCCCTACATGGGAAGGCACGAGCGGCGTGCACACGCACATGACCAATACGCGCATCACGGACTCGGAGGTCTTCGAGCGCCGGTACCCGGTACTCCTGCGCGAGTTCTCGATCCGCAAGGGCTCGGGCGGTAAAGGCCAGCACCGCGGCGGCGACGGTGTCGTGCGCGACATCGAGTTCCGGATTCCCGTGCAAGCCTCCATTCTCAGCGAGCGCCGCGTGTACAGGCCGTACGGTCTCGCGGGTGGCGAGGACGCCGAGTGCGGCCTGAACATCTGGGTCCGACGCGTCGCCAAATCGAACCCGGAGAAAGACCTCGCGGCGCAAGGCCAGCATGCGGCGGACGAGCAGGGCGAGGACGTCGAATACGAGGAGCGTTGGATCAACATGGGCGCGAAGAATACCGCAGCTATGAAGGCCGGGGATAGGATCATTATAAATACGCCAGGTGGCGGTGGTTGGGGTCCTGTCGGGGGCGAGAGGGCTGTTGCTGATGGAAAGGATCATACTAAGGCGTGGCGAGGTGGAAGTCATGCGGCGAGAGAGGAGTTGGCGCTGCAGGCTTAACGAATTTCATAGGAGATTAATTATATACCTACCGACTCGAGAACTTCAATGATAAAACTTGTATACTACCTATATTATATATTGATTGTCTCATAGTCGTCCCGAATTCGCATATCTATCACGGGAATGAAGACGAGAGACTTAGTGATGAGGGAGTAATCCGGCCCCCAACACTGACAAACGAGATACATCCCATTGAGCACCTTCTACTACATGAGTGCAGTTGAAGAGTTTTGCAACACGGTCGAAATCCTATGTCCTATTCTACGATGCCAAGGCTAATTGTGTTTATATTCGTGGCTAGGTAGTGATCTGGATTGATATTTGGATCATCCAAGACTGCTGGACTACTAGTAGACTTCTCTTGCCAGCTGTCACCGTCCTTTCGTCGTAGATACTGCCGGGTGTCAGCTTTGTGACTCACGAAAAGAGGACGGAGCTTGATGTACCTAAGTACCGTTTACCCCTCCTGCCTCATGTGGCATGTGGGAGACTTCAAATTTCCACTTGGCTACCCCTCCTATACAATTCTTGGTGGGGCATATCCGATCTTTCGCGGCCATAGCCATAGTAACTGTTCCCGTATTCTACCGTGGTGCCCAGCCTGATTCTGTTGAGAGTATCTGTAGTTGTGGTTGTCGTCGACGTGACAACATATCTTCAAGATGCTCGACATCACCGATTTCATTGCCTCTCGTGGCGGCGACCCCGAGAAGATCCGACAAAGCCAAAAGAAGCGCAGCGCTCCCGTCGAAATTGTCGACGAGATCATCGAGCTTTGGGAAGTTCACAGAACAACCCTCTACGAGGCTACGCAGATTGGCGCCGAGATCAAGACCGTCCAGGCCAGCATCACCGCTAGGAAAAAGAAGGGCGAAGGCATTGACGACCTGCTGAAGCAGAAAGATGAGATAACCCAGCGACGCGTCGCACAGGAGAAGGCCGCTGCCGACCTTCAGGTGAAGCTAGACGCTAAGCTCAAGACGGTCGGTAATTATGTTCACGACTCCGTGCCAGTCAGTACAACCGAAGACGACAATGTTGTCCTTCGCACATGGAATCCAGAAAACCCCAAGTCTGGCGACAATCTACTCAGTCACCATCAAGTGCTCGCTCGACTCGAGGGCTACGACCCCGAACGCGGTACTAAGCTGGTTGGCCACCGCGGTTACTGTTTGACTGGCTGGGGTTTATTCCTCAACCAAGCTCTCATTAACTTCGGTCTGGAGTTCTTGTTCAAGAAGGGCTATTCCCCCAATCAGCCTCCCTTCTTCATGGACCAAGCCTACATGGCCAAGACCGCCCAGCTGTCCCAATTCGACGAGGAGCTATACAAGATCACCGACAAAGATGCCGAGCCCAAGTACCTGATTGCCACTAGTGAACAACCACTATCTGCCCTGCACTCGGATGAATGGCTCCAAACTAACGATCTCCCGATAAAATATGCCGGATACAGCACCTGCTTCCGAAAGGAGGCTGGCAAGCATGGTCATGATACATGGGGTCTCTTCAGAATACACCAGTTCGAGAAGATCGAGCAGTTTGTTATTTGTAACCCCGAGGACAGCTGGAAGCATTACGATGAGATGATCAAGATTTCGGAGGAATTTTATCAAGCCCTCCAACTCCCCTACCGCGTCGTTTCCATTGTGTCTTCGGCTTTGAATAACGCAGCATCCGCCAAATTCGACCTCGAAGCCGTTTTTCCCTTTCAAAAAGAGTATAAAGAGTTGGTCTCGTGCTCCAACTGCACCGACTACCAAACCCGTGAGTTGGGCATTAGATATGGGCCAAAGAAGCAGAAAGGCACCCCCGACTCTGCGAAGAAGATTTACACACACGCTTTGAACGCCGTATGTCATTCTCGCACCCGCTATGTCCGTGAGTTTTCATGACTAACATCCAATAGACACTTTGTGCCACAGAGCGAACTCTCTGCTGTGTACTAGAAAACTATCAGACTCCCGATGGATTTGCTGTTCCGGAAGTACTACGCAAATATCTTCCTGGGCAGCCCGAGTTCCTCCCATATACCAAGGAACTGGCTAAGGAAATCCCGATCAGGGGCAAGAAGGCTTGAGATGTAAGAGTTAGCAGACTTCTAGATAGGGATACTCCCACAAAATGAGGGAAGGTGTTCCGGTTTAGATCGCATCCATGTGAGCACAAATGCCCGTGGTATCAGGCAAGAGATATCTGCTCATGAAATGTAAGACAGTCGCAGAAGTCTAGCTCAATTATCATTTTCCCCACTTGATTGGCTGGTCGGTCTGCACACAATTAGTCTCATCTATAGAGTTTCCTATTGACAGTAACAAGCGACGACGAGTAAAACGAATACTGGTTTCCAAAGGTTTTTATTTACATGCCCGCTCCCCTTTACAATAATAGTAAGAGAGTCCAGCGCATTTTATATTCGGCATTTCGGCCCCAGTGATAGGAGTGAGGTATGGTAATGCGATGTAGGTATCACTCTGACTATTCAGTCACTTGAATGAATGTTTCATTTTCGTCATCCATTTTCATCCTCGCACCTCTCCCTGTGGGTGTATCAGGAGGCTTTAAAGGGCCAAATTTAACATGAGACACAGTATGCAACACAGTGTAAGACTGTTCACGGAAGCTAGTCTACCCCTGTCGATCAAAGGATCAAAAAGATTGCGAAGAGTTAGGTGTAATGAGTAATTAATAACAGTAGTAAAGCCCACATCTGTGTAGCACTCTGTTGTCTGTCTGGTTGCGGCATGGTTACCAGTCTTGCCAGAACAGCGAGAGCGTGGTATTTGACCTCATGCGCGTTACGCATCTCTTCGCTGCCTGTGCCTTTACGGCTGGCATCGCTGGGCTCAGGACCACTGCATCAACCGCTGGTGTTGAATCCTTGGTTCGGCGGCGTCTGCCCCAACATGCCGAGTCCTTCCAGTTCGAACTCGTAGAAGACTTGGACCCCGATAATGAGGTCAGCGATGAACGCGTCAATGATAGCTATGTCGTTTCTAGTACGAGTGATGGCAAGGTCATTGTGCAGGGAAACACAGCCGGCGCGCTGTTGGCTGGGTGAGTGTAACCCTCACTTAGTTTATCCAAGTAGCTCGTGAAGCTAAGACGTCGTTTCTAGTCTGCACACCTATCTTTCCAGTGAAGCTCATGTCGATATATGGTGGTTTATCGGCAGCCAACTAGACAAAGCGCCCAGGGAACTCCCCGTTCTATCTAGCCCATTGACTGGCTCTAGCGTGGTCCCCTACCGGTACTACTTGAATACTGGTGAGTGCTGGTTGTGAGGCTATGGATTGCTCAACTTAATCTAACAAATCGTGAGTGACCACCTCTTACACATCCGCCTTTTGGGGATGGAATGAGTGGGAGGAGCATCTCGACTGGATGGCCCTCCGCGGCATCAACATTGCGCTTGCATGGATAGGGTTCGAAAAGATCAATATAGAGGTATTCCGAGAGATGGGCTTCTCCGATGCCGACCTTGAGGATTTCATAAGTGGTCCTGCCTTCGTAGCCTGGAACCACTTCGGGAATATTCAAGGGTCTTGGGGTGGCTCGATGCCTGAATCTTGGGTCGAGGATCAATTCGCTCTTCAGTTGAAGATCGTAGAGCGCATGGTGGAGCTGGGGATCAAACCTATCCTCCCTGCATTCCCTGGGTACACCCCCAGATCGATTACCCATGTCTTCCCTTCGGCGAACGTATCGAATGGTTCGAACTGGGAGGGCTTTCCGACGAGGTACACCAACGATACGTTCCTTGACCCCTTTGACCCGCTCTTCGAAGAGCTTCAAGTCCGTTTTGTGTCTAAACAGCAATCGTACTACGGCAATGTCACGGACCTTTGGACCCTGGACCAATTCAACGAGAATAACCCTGCTTCAGGTGATTTAGGCTATCTTGAGAGCGTGAGCGCTAACACTTGGAGCTCCCTTAAAGCGGCAGACCCAAGCGCAATTTGGGTCATGCAGGGCTGGCTTTTTTCGTCCAATTCAGAGTTCTGGACTAATGAACGCATTCAAGCGTTCCTGGGGGGCGTGACAGTCGACTCTGATATGCTCATTCTAGATCTGTTCTCTGAATCCCAGCCTCAGTGGCAGCGGACCGACTCGTTCTTTGGAAAGCCTTGGATATGGTGCCAGCTACATGGCTACGGTGGTAACTACGGATTGGTGTGTTCTATCGATGAGGCCTTCCTCTCGTTTTGCGTTACTAACTGCTTCCGTAGTACGGACAAATTTCGAACGTGACAGTGAATCCGATTGAGGCGCTCGGCTCTAGTGACACGTTGGTCGGCTTCGGGCTTACGCCAGAAGGCCTAGAAGGCAATGAAATTATGTATAATCTTCTCCTTGATCAAGCTTGGAGCAAGAGCCCACTTGACACCGAGCAATACTTCCATGATTGGGTAAGAACCCGATACGGGGCGAGTGGTGTTGATCTTCCGAAAGGCATATACGAGGCCTGGGAAACATTGCGGCCGACAGTCTTCAACAATACTAACCTCACTGCAAATGCTGTTCCGAAGTCCATTTTCGAGCTTGTGCCAAGCACATCGGGTCTGGTAAACCGGACAGGACATCATCCGACAATTCTTAATTACGATCGTGAGGTCGTTGTGACAGCCTGGAAGCTTCTGTACCAAGCAGGAGTACACGAGCCTATATTGTTCTCGAACCCAGCCTACCAATACGATCTCGTCGACTGGACACGCCAGGTTTTAGGCAACGCATTCATTCCACTATACGAGCAGCTAATCGCCACTTACAAGGCGCCACACAAACAGTCGCGCAAGTGTGAATTGAAGCATCAAGGCCAAAAGCTCACGCAGCTTCTCTTCACTCTCGACAGGGTGCTAGCGACGAACGAGAACTTTCGACTTTCTAAATGGATTCAAGATGCTCGCGCAAGCGTGAACGCATCTGATTCGAATCACGCCGCTATCGCGGACTTTCTCGAGTACCAAGCTCGTAACCAGGTGACACTATGGGGACCGACGGGCCAGATCTCGGATTACGCTTCCCGGTCTTGGAGCGGCTTGGTTGCGACGTACTATCTACCTAGGTGGCAGAAGTTCGTGGACTATTTAATCGCGACGCCGCCGAGTGAATATGACCAGAAGACATTTACTGCCGAGCTACTTGAATGGGAATTATCTTGGGTTGAGCAGACAACTGGCGGCATTGAATTGTTGGACCAAGAGGGCGATTTACAGACCGTGTTAGTCGCGGTTATCAACACCTGGGGCTCGGTCTTCATGTTATAGACATATAAATTCGCATTGCCAGCCTTTAGCATTAGTATTTTCCTTCGCTTTCGTGATTAGAATAATTAATAATGATAGGATGGAGGAGACATCTAGATGCTTTTAAATGCCCTAGGCAAGATACTCTTATAATATGCCCTAGTTCTCCTGATCACTGACCTCCGCTCTCTGCCGTCGCCACGTGCAACTACGCTGGCACGTTAGTCTACGAAAGAAACATGGGCTTGGTAGTTGGCGATCTCGAACCCCAGAAATCCAGACCCTTGTCTTTAGCGGCAGGGACATGGGGCTTGGTAGTGGCTACTTCAAGATCTGCATGCGCATTAATTCAAAGAGCGTTAACTTGTCGCGTTAGTGTTAACAGTGTGCCTGACGCTAAAAAGAAGCTCAGTCCCCAGTCTATGACATCAGATTGATGTATTGTTGAACTATCATGATGAAACAAATACTAGCATACATCTCACACTCACTTAATATACGAATCAAAATATTCTTTCTTGAATGTCATACGTACCCTTTCAGTCTCCTAGTTTGCAGCTAAATTAGTCCTTAACACCATCTTAAGGCAGGCGAGCAGCATCTTATAAGCACCCTGGTTTCTAGCAAGATGCCTACGATACAAGCGACCGACAAACAGGCGGCTGCCAACGGTAGCGATGGCGGAAGTGAAGCCGTAGCGGCCGGCTCGAAACATGACATACCAGATAAGACGGCCCCAGATTCTAAGCGATCTAAAAAGAGCGATGGGAAAGCTCAGAAAACCATTGAAGACACCATGGAAAGGTTCGTTAAGCTACATATATGCTCGTTCAAACGTATGTAATACTTACACACCTAGCTCTACCAAGGACGGCCGAGAACCCAAAAAGGGGAAACAGGCTAGCAAAGATGAGGAAAGCGACGTTCAGGACTCAAAACAGGGCCCGGCGACAGGCAATGCTGAAGAATCAGGTGCACGTAAGGGTGTCGTTCCATCCAGCATACTCGAAAAGGGCATCATCTACTTCTTTTTCCGCGGACGCGTAGGCATCGACGAACCCAGCGACGTGAAGGAAATTCAGCGAAGCTTGATGGTTCTTCGACCTCTCGACAAAGACGCTAAGCTCGGAGAGGGTACTATTCAGGATGCTAGTAACATCCGGTTGATCGCAGTACCCAAGAAGGTATTTCCCCGTAGTGGCAGGGATAGATGGATCGCATTCGTGGAGAAGTCCGACGCCTCTTTGAAAACCCTCAAAGAGACCTTCCTCCCCTCACATGACTATGAGACCAAGACAGCGGGTACTCGGCACACCCCTGCTGCCACGCCGGCTGCCGAAGGTGTCTATGCAATCACCACGACTGGAAGGGAAAGCCATCTCGCGTATATGATTACACTGCCATCTGAGCTCGGTGACTTGCAGACCGAGCTGGGGCTGCGAGAGAAGGGGAGTTTCATTATCAGTACGAGAAATCCCCAGTACGATGCGCCTCGAGGCACGGCACTTCCTGAGGGTCCAGATTATCCTAAAGAGTAAGTCTAACGCATATATATGGCTTTTCCATTCGAAATGGGCTAATTGTAAACAATCAAGGGTACTCGACGAGTTTCGGTCGCTTAGATGGATGCCATCCCAGCCACACCATCTCGACTATGCGAATACGCAATTCTTGCTGGTTGGCGAATCGAGCGGCATTGAGAAAGCCACCGAGCCTCAGAAAGAGGACGAGAAAGAAGGAAAGGAGAAGCCCGAGGAAGAATTAGAGAAGCTAGAAGATGAGGACACACATCGCATGGAGACATTAAGAGATGATGATTCCACGGCCATCTTTGCTGACTTGGGTACCCTCGCAAAAGATTATCCGAAAATGAGAACGAGCTTCAAATGAGGGCCCATTTCCTAGACCGCTATTGTTCCTAGTGTTAGTAATGTCAGAGTATGTACGAATGTACGATAGCAGGAAACGGAAGGCAGTATATAGTATGCTTGGCAGTTCATAGAACACGTTGACATAACGAGCACGATCTTGTTCGCATTGGTGTTTTGACAAGAATGAATGATTGCACATATATTAAAGTCAAATGCAAGCCGCTTTTTCAAGCTAGTATCTATATCACGTTGTCTGATATAAGCTATGTATTTACACTATGGATTCACACCAAATTACACTCGATTCTTTATCTTGGCGGTATTACACTGAAGCAGACCCAGTCTCAGGGTGAATTGAGTATGACATTAGTACTCGTACCGGGTAACTTCGGGGTAGCAACTCAGCCCCTTGCCATCCAACAGCTCGCCTCCATGGCCCTTCAAGAATCGGTCAAACAGGGCTCCTAACAGAGCCGTCTCGATCTTGAGCAGCCTAGACCCTCCAATAGTGCCCGTCTGATCAGCATAATCACCCAGGCCCTCCGGTCCAACGAGATCCCTGAAGATAGGAAGATCAGTGAATGAGCCATGCACTGTCCCATTCACACTATATTCGCGCTTGAATCCTCGGAGGTTGGGCCAGGCGTCGGCCCAGCTAGGGTCGGTGATGTGCGTATGACCTGGCGCGCGGATGAACAGGAATGGCGAGTCCGTACCTTCCTTCACAACTGTGCCGTAGACGCCTCCATCAAGGTCGGCGCCAACGTGGAAGCGCTTGTCATCTTTCAATAGCTGAAGTGCTGCTGCGCCGCCAAATGAGTGACCGAAGACCCCTACTTTGTCTGTTCTGAGTTTTGACTTGCGCACGCTATGGTTGTTTGACCGCGAAGATGATGACTGGTACCCTAGACCTGGGATCTGAGATGTCACTGATGAGTTCGAAAGCGAGTTCAGGACAAACTGCATATCTTTCACTCGAGCATCGAGAAACTGTAGCAATAATGCGTCGTCGACGGTCCCGTTGGCCGTGGGTGAATCGGCTGGGAACACAACTCGACCATCAGGGTATTCTACGATGAGGCTGTCATACGGGTGATCAACCGTGACTACATTCCATCCGTGACTCGCAATTTCCCCTGCCATGTCAGAATGGAATAGTCTCGTAGTGCCGAGACCGGGACCTAGTAATAGGAGAGGCAAATCAGGTCGCGCCATAGGGCTGTTGAGACAAGAGCGAGTGGTGATCATCTCTGCAGCTCCTGGGTTGTTGATTTGGACATCGAGCGCCGCAGCGGTCGCAGGAGGGAACTGAGGCGCCAGCTTGCAATTCTTGACATTCTTATCTGTAGGATAAAATAGCGAGACCACGAGATCTCGTGGTCCGGGAGTCGGTGCGAATGGATCCTGTCGGGAATAATCGACAAGCTCAAGGACAGTGGTGCCAACTTTGTGCGGTCCAGTAAGTGCAGGAACAAGAAGCTTTGCTTTAGCCTCTAAGGCCAAGGCGAGTGATAGAAAAGCTGATTGTACCAGCATCTCGATGGCGTTCGGGATAGATAGGCTATCGAGGAGGAATGAACTGATTGATTTGATGATAGACATTATTTACATTATATGGCTAGCTCCTGCTTTTTATAAATGAGTATACTCATCACTGGAACTGTGATGTTGTCTGTGTAACGCTGTCAAGCCCACGGAAGGATTCCGGTGTGCCCAACGAGGCTCACGATGACAGTCGTTTGTAATCCCTTTTCAGCTCACCCTCAGCCACCACTGGCATCGTCATAGCTTCATACCGAATTACTTGAAAACAACTAAAGAGGAACGCAAGAAGCCACATGGTTGTCGAACCGCCTTAGTTTGCGATCGTGGTCATTTCTCCCCCGCTGCCAAGCCATCCGTCCCTTACAGGTAGTATAGCTAGCCTAGGCAGCAATTTAGACGACTAAAGCCCATTATTGTGCAATCATTTCTTTGCCTTTGTAGCAATTACCGATTCATTTAGGACTTGCTGACGAGTTCACCGGGGCGCAGTGTAGTTCCAGCCCTAGGCTCCAATATAGAGTACACGCTTATCCAACAACATGCAGAGACTACTGTTGTTCGCTTGGAACACAAGTGCATGGAATAACACATGGCTGAATCACAACCTTCAGCAATCTCATTCGGCCCGTGAGTTAGTCAGTAAAAGATGAATTAGTTGTTGAGACGCGTCAGCTACGGAGAGCGAAGAGACCACCAGTCCTGCCGATGTGAAACATGCATCTAGCGCTGGCGTCATTTAATCTCAATTTGCATTTCGAACACCCAGGCGGTTGATACAGGGATTCATGAAGAAATATCAGATCATGACATCATTTGAGTTGGGTTTTAGTTAGGATTCTAGAACAGTTGAAATGGTTTGGGGACGTTTGAATATCAGCGCCACTACCGCTATCCTTGCTAGTACAATTCCAGTCGCCAGCGTTAGACCTTCAGTTACATGACAATCATCGTCGACTTCAACCTGCATTCATGGCCTTTTCCTCAGCAATGCCGAAGCCGTCCTTATACAGGCCACCAACGAGGAAAGACTTGTCCTGCATGTGAGCGGGTGCCTCATAGTTGTTGTTCTTCTTCGTATACCAGTCCATGACGTTCACGTCTTTCCCTTCGGTATCCTTCATCAGCGTGTCATCGCTCGGACGCAGGAAATAAGTCACGGAATAGCGGTGTTCGTCAGCCAAAGGCAGCACGCGATGGACAGCTGAGATCAGCCTGCGGCCAGTGAGGAAATGTAGGACATCGGCGACGTTCACGATGGCGCAATTCGCCCGAGGCTCGACCCACTGCCACTCACGGTCCTCGCTGCAAGGGCCTGTAGGGTAGAGGACTTGCAGTCCCCATTGGGACGCGAAAACAAGAGTCAATGTGCCGTAGTCAGTGTGCATGTTGTGCCCTACGTTCTCTCCCGTGGGGTCCAGGGGAATGTAGTGAAGGTACGCGACGGCGCTTTTGGACGGGCAGTCCCCGCGGTGCGTCCTGTTAAGGCTGTTCTCGGCCCCTAGGCCCAATGCATTAGATACTCTGTCGAGTATCATTCTACTGACATAATCACATTGGCGCTGGAACGTCGAAAAGGTCTCGTAGTGTTTCTCTACTGGGGGGATGAGTCCCCATCTCGCTGAAATCTCAAGGCTGCCAGTCTGTGTCATTATCAGTACTATGTTGGCATTATGATCATCTGCTCCGGTTCAAGGGGATAATTCCTTTATTGGGCACTTACCTTCAAGACTTCCCACCCGTCTCGCCCACCATGAGTGCCTGCCTGAGATCCAATTGGCTTGTATCTATAGCAGTATCAGCATCAGACTAAGACTTACTTGATAATAACCAAGCACATATTTAGGATGGTAGCTTGTCAACTTACCCATGAGATGCCATGCTGATTGTCTTGTATTGGCTCTTTGTAGTGTCGGGCTCACTGAACCAATCTTTCATAACCGAACTACACTTCTCCAAATTCCGCAACATGCCCTCGGAATACTTGTCCGAGAGGTCGAGGTAGAAGAAACCAACAGTTTGAATTGCGGACATTAGGTTGCTCATTTGCTCTGCATCGCGATCTAGTATCTTTGAAAACACGACAGTTTCCAACTTTGCCACAGGCATAAGAGTGGGAACTGGACCTGCTGCCATGGTGAGGAAAAATCGAGGGAGAAGATAGTGATGTGTATAGCCGTCCTTGAGGAAAGGAATATCTGATCGATGCAGGTAGCTTATCAATAGCTGAGTAGACATTCTAAACCGACCAGAGGGGCTGGAAATGCTACCCGTCAGCTCCTATTTATAATCATGTGGAAGACATGGCTAGATTATGAACTCACGATGTAGAACCTTGCCATGTATCACCATGTTGTTTGCTGCGCAGCGGGGGAGATTTGTATCCCCGTGATAAAGATCACTCCCGAGCGTCCCTCGGAAAGGCTGTAGCTCGACCTAGTCTGCATCTATCGCATTCCATCATGACGGGACCTAATCACGCGAATGTCTGAAAGTATATTCGATTCTTTACAAGTGTCACGGTGCTACACCTGTGCGAGTAGAATGATTTATAAAAGCATCATGTGTTAAAGTCAGCCAACGAAGAGACTCGAACTCCTTGCGCCCTATATCAGTCATACCTATATACTTATGCTGACCGCTCTTGATAGTAGAAGAGACTGCCTCACACGGAACCGGCACATTGACGTTTCAAAGTTTGGTTTCATCCCTTCCCTGATATCCTCCGTTATAGTACAACGTTGTACTAGGCCTCAAGAGGGTAGGTCTATGTATTTCCTAACAAATTCTAAGTATAGTGAAAACTCTTAATCGTACGGCAAGAATGGTCACGATGGCGGAAATTAGGCTTCAAAGATTTGATAAGAAGCCGCCGGGCCGGCTTCGTACGTAAGCTAGCAACAATGTCCTCCCATACCAAGCTTTAGGTCACATACTGGTTGGTTGAGACAAACCGGGAGCCTTCCGTCGCTCCCTAGCCAAGCAACCCCCACGGCAGGTCTCTCGGGGAGTATCTATTAGAGAACGAGAAACTTGTGGACGTCAAAGTGCGCCACGTTTGCTTGGCGGTGGAAGGGCAAGCCTAGCTCGCGTATAATAGTTCCCAAAGCTTTGTATGTTATGTGTGGCCACTCATAAGACGTTTTAGCCTACCTTATCTAAGTACGTCATACTGTGTCGTTATAGTCAACGTACCACGGTGGGAAGGAAGTATCTTTACATGTCTGGACTGGAGCACGTCTACTACGCAGGCAAATTGACCATCAGCTTGGGCATCTCCGCTGATTCTGAGGTCATCGAGCTGCACTGGCCGCCTCAGCCGTTGGTCGCTCATTGCTCCGTTCTTGACTCGGTGATACAGACAATTGGAAACATATCTGGAAGAGCAGATGTTGATCTACCCCACTACAAGTATTTTTGTTCTACGTAGTTCATACTTTTTGATGTCTTCACCTTGTCCCCTCAGTGTTGATCAAGCCTCCCAGTCGGAGGTGGTAGACAATTATAAGGGGTCTTATACTATTTACCCTGAGAAAAAGCATTGCACTCAGCTTCGCCTCAAATCCTACGCTGGTTTGCGAGTCGAGTGTGAGATTGACGTAGCACACTACTCATCCTACACTATCATATGCAAGGTCCTCAAGTCTGGTCCGTAAATATTCTTGTTTCGTGGATGCAATCCAAATCCACCTGCTCTTGTTGCCCACTCCCCCATCTCCGGCTCAGAAAATTCAATATTTGCATCAGTCCCGAACCAGGTGGCCACTTCATCTAGTGATGGGATGGTTTCACCAATATGATAAATCTTACACACTTTGATGTCTGGATTATTCACAGTGTCGTTAAGTAAAGTACTCATCAACATGCGCACAACCTCATCCGATGACACGACCAGCGCTGGTCGGTGATTGAAAATTGGCCAGAAAGGATTGAGCTGTTGAAGGTGCTCAAGGAAGACTTCATTAGCCCACTTCGAAGACATAAATCCATACTACTTCAAGCCTCTTGTCGAGATCACGGTTATTGACTTCCAAACCATGGCGGTCCGTGACATTCGCAAGCTCCCCCTTATTTATCCATAAGCCCAATTACAATTAGAAGCTACAGCCACTCAGAAGCCTCGGAAACCTTAACGGGCCAATCAGAAGAGGCCTAGTCTAGAGAAAGAGACACTCTCATTGGCTCTTAGCGCTGGAAAACGTTCCGATTGGTCATAAATTAGCTATAAATTAACCATAAATTAGCTATAAATACTGGCCTTTGATTGGCTAGAGGGCCTCCCTCCAGCACCGGTTGCAAAGGATCAATTTTTCACAACAAAGAACCTTCAGTTGCCTTGAAACATATAAGAAGTACATAGCCAATTGTGTAAATTCTCTAGAATGGCCTGATTTCTAGGGTAATTCGCCCCAAACTTGGATTGGTGGCCTCGAAGCGCCCGATACATAGCGGATCAGGTAATGTGACTCTGTTTCGCTCCTCCCTTGCATCTTCCTTCAACGACGTTAGTCTTAGAAGTTACGATCTGCGAGGTACTTGATCGCTATGATGAATAATACGGCAGTCTGCTTGCTTGCTCGTGAAAAGCTGCACACCCAATGGATATAATAATCTCAATTGGCACATGAAGTTCGACGATCCTCATCTTGAAGTTTGGTTTCAAGGCTTTTACATCTAATCCATCCCTTCCGTCACTGTGAGATAGAAGAGGCGCGGGCTATTTTGTGGGCATGGGGACAGTGTTTGAAAACCAGGCCGAACATTTGATAGACTCCCACTAACCTTGAAGATGCTCCGGGTAGAATGATCACCGACGAACCGAGCAACGCTGGACAGAGAGCGCAAACGCGGTCAGATGATCGGAAAGACGTCGCTGTAACTAATTACTGACTGATGAGACTTGGAAGAGCCTAGGTCATCTCAACACAACGTCATCCGCTGCCCGAAGTGATAAAATTGCAGGTGCAAGCTGTTATGAACAACTCGACTAATGTGATATTTCAACACAAGGAAAGTGCATATGTTCTCTGACTACATAATGGGTCAAACGCAACGGTCCTCGGACGCAGTTGCATGTTTTTCTCAATCAGAACTCATTAGTTCTCGTATTAGATGAATGCCTAGATGCATACGTTTCTGTTGCCCACGGAACGAAATTCACGAAGAGCTTAACCATGAATCCATGTTTCATCATCTTGAAGAGCCTTAAAGCTGTAGTTTGATAACCATTTCAAGGGGCAACACTGAAGGGATCCGGTGTAAGTCAACAAGACAGTTATGCATATTGGTAGCAAGTGCTTTGGAAGTTCGATGCCCGAGGAAATGAATAATACTGAGACGGGAGTGCTGGGAGTGAAGCTTCGCAAGACAATATTGCATCTGCGTGTTGACTTTCCTTGCGTACCTCATACATTCGAAAGTGTAATGCTCCTTCACCTTTGATCATTGATGAAGAAAAACCTGTGAGCAAGAACAAATCCTGGAGTAATCAGGTCTTAATCTATCTCCCTCCCTCCTTGTCCGGGCCTCCTTTTCTTTCTTCCCACAATCACCACTACAAGAACAACAATAAGAAGAAGAAAAAGAAGAACGACTCTTCCTCTTCCACCCCCACCACCATTGCTGCCGTCCGATGTAAGTCCCCCATCCCACTACGTTGTGTATGACCAATTGTACCTTTGAGAACCACCTGGCCTTAGATCCAGCCTTGTATCTTCAATGTTTAGCGTCCCGGCTATGATTGCAGCAGCCTTTTGTTGTATTGAGACAGTACGTTACTAATTGATGTCAAAACAGGCCCGAATATCGCGGGTGCCGTCGCCACGCCCTCAACGCCGCCGAGCCGCCGAAGCCCGCTTTTTCGCCGTTGGGACACTTCTGGTGCAAGGAAGTACCACGCAGTACAACGTGGATCGCGCCTACGTGCGTCTGATTGCGGCGAGCGCGGCCGAAGAGGCTATCAGGCGTGGCTTTGGTCCCTTCTATGGCTGAAGTTGCTTGGTAAGTAATACCACTTTTTCGTCACAGCACATAGCACACCTGCTCAAGTGAGCGGGTCCAAGACGCTGGTCAAGCACCTTTCCGTGGTGTCTTGGATAAGTAAGACTGCTACTTCAGAAGATACGCACAGTCTGAAACTAAGACTTGACCGATACTGTTTCTTCCCCTTTCTATTCAATCCAGGCTTCCTCCTTGAACCTGTCCTTTGCTCAGATTTGTTGCAACGAGTTCGGTCGAAGTACAGGCTTTGCAACCTGAAGGTAGAATACCGCATCGCCATGACAATTGACTTAAACATTCAGAAGTTCCTCTACATAACAGCGTCCGCTTCCCCCATGTTTAAGCGCCACTGCTTCCCAAACTTGCCTCAATTGAGGGGGCAAAGTGAGACCCCAAGTGTCTCGCCAGGTCACAGCAGCAAGTAGGTGACGCTCTGTAACTTCAAAGAAACGGTTGGCATCTGCGATGAACGATGCCGACAGATGTTCAAGCTTCAGACTAGCTTTCGTAATCGCCTCCCTTACGTTGACATCTGGTATCTGGATGGGGTCGCAGTTGTAGTAATAGGGGAGTATCTCTCATCAAAGCTCTCGAGGAGTGTAATCCTCTTCAATCCGGATGGCCTGGCCGACGATTTGAACAATAACCGGTACCCTGCACACACTTCTCAGCATTTGAGTGATATCGGAAACCACAAATCCCAGACACACTATGAGTTGAAAGTCACGATAATATCAGCTCCGACATTTACAGTCATCTGTGCAGCCCTGTGCTGCGTTGCCATCGACCATGCCCCCATGGAGGAGTAGACCTTGGCGCCCGTGATGCTGGAGACTGTACATTTCCCGTAAGTCAGAAAGTTGATTTTATTGAAAATTCAAGTTTTACGTTTTTAATTTTCCCATGTTTAGAAGTATAAGTTATAGACGGAAGATGCATCTTACGTCGACAATAGCCTTTTTGCTGTTCCAGTAGTCTGTGCCTCTGATGACCTCAAGAAGTACATCCATCTGAAACACGCAACTTGGGTAGCCTTCGAAGCTGAAGACTGAGTTGATTTAGTATGTTGATTCTGGGGGTATTACGATTGCTCTCAGTGGACATTTTGCGATCGAGAATTGGACGATCGTCGGTTGAGGTGTTGCTGCTGGCTAATCAACTAAGTACTGTATTCACTGAAAACCTACCTACTTAGGTAGATATTCCAACTATCCCATGGGAAATACTTATTTTCTTTTTCTATAAAAGATCTACTATGTCATTACTAGTACGTTTGGAGTAAGGTCTTCGGATAATCTTCGAACCGAAATAACAGTTCAAGACTGATACGTAACCTACCTAAAATACACCATATTTAGAAAACTTGCATAGTACTTCCATCCCATCCTTTAAAAGAGATAATACTAAACAATATATGTTCAATTCTAACACCGTGCCTCTTGCTATGTAGAAACTACGAAATTACGGTATTTCAAGGGCTTATTGCGTCTCGGAATCAAGTTCTATGGTCGGGGTCCCTAGGACAGTCTCCTGTACCTAGAAAGGTTTAGCAGGTCTTGGCTCGCAGAGGACTCTTACTGCTGCCTGATACCGGGGGGTTTCTAGTAATATGGCCTAGGTATATCCGAATGACAGCTCTATCATTGTCATTTAGACTCACCTCACTCGATAAGTTGGCGACCTGATATCATTCCATGCGCGAGCGCATCAAATGATTCAAAATGTATTGGCCATGCTGGCCGTTGAGTGTTGCAATAGCTCAAGACACATTGACATTGTCAGCCGGAGCGCCGATCGAGGGGACGCGCTTAGGACTGTGGTATTGCTGATTCTCCTGGTGTTGCACGCTATAGCTATAATACCGGTCTTCTTTTACGTGAGTTCTACCTGACAGTCGGTGTTATCTAGTCGTACTACACGGCGAAGAAATTGAAGTCCGGACGCTGAGCTGAGCTGCTCGTTAGATCGCATATACTGTATACAAGGTCTTTCCCATCCTCACCATTGTCGAGAGTCGTCCAAGCTATGAAGCAATTCCGCTCCAAGAGGCCGGCGACATGAGCCGGGGACTAAACTCGCTACAAACTGAAGAACCCAGCTTGACCGCGCAGATGCCTCTCACTTCCAGCATCAGGCGCATGCATGAGTTGGTCAGGCAAACAGACCACATGTGGTTACGAAGACGTGGGCTGGGCGCTCTTGCTGTCTACAATCTGGCCAATGCGCTAGTCATAATACCCCTACGCACCGTGCCACTTGTTCCGGGTTTCGTTTGGAACGCGGTAGCAGTGCTATTGACGATACAGTTGCATACTGTCTGGGTGCACGTCATTATCACACCGCCGATGGCCAAGCCCTTCTGGAAGCGCGTCCTTCCGTTCTGGACAGTTTTCAAGGCGACTGCTACTGCTAGCTTGATATACTACGTGACGACTGAGCTCACGATATTCACGCCCTGGCTGGCAGCCCAGGCACTCAGGGCTCCCTTCGGCCTGAGTCAGATCCAAAAGAAACCGAGTGACCTGTGGAAGCTGCTCTTGTCAATCGGTCTTTTCGTCGCAATACAAGCGTTGGCGTGCGCCCCGGCGCTGGTGATCTTGACGCGCATCCAAGCATCACTCTTGCCCGAGGATGAAGAGACAATCGTGCCTGTCGATCGAAGCTTCGGGGTTGAGAAGGAGCGAGGAAAGCACGGCGAGGCAACAGGACTTTCAATTATCGAAGCACTTAAATCTTTCAACGGTTCCTGGATGCGGTTATATAAACTTTGCATCAAAATCTTCTTTCTTATCCTAGGATCCTTCGTAGGACTAGGCATCATTCTGGGGTTGGAATATCTGGCACTTAGGGCTGCCGGCATTCTAGTATGAGCTGCTTGAGTATTGGAGACTGCGCGCGTGTGTAATTATCTACTACTCGCTTATACCTATTTGACCTTCTAGTGCGCAAGGCTTCAATGCTAATACCACATCATTTATACACACAAAGTTTCGTCGATCTTACCAGTCTCAAGCAACTCTAGATATGGTTTTGGTGATTACATGCAAGTAATAGATATAAATTAAAAGGAGGCTAAATACCGACGACGATCTCGGGTTCATCAATGTGTTGATGTCAGCGAAGAACAAAGCCCTCGCGGAAGTTGCCTCGTAATGTGCTGGGATTTCCCATGCTGAGTAGCTAGGTATAAAATAGACCAAGGTTACCACACTATGTGAGCCTAGGCACTTACAATTACAACGGTATATGCGGAATGTTGACCAAAGTCGTAACCACGCGTATGAAGAGTTGTATGGCAATGACCTGACGCCTCGAAAGGCCTAGTGCAGTTGCCCTTAACGATTCGCCAGAGGATTCGAAGACCGTGAATCAAATTCCGGTCATGAATTCTCTGGTCGATGCCAATGTCATAATTCCTCATAAAGGCAGAGTCGCATTCCATTGGAGGAACCTATAACACCCTGCATCGACATCGACATAGCAGATTCTTGGCGGGTAGCGCGTCAGATTGGCCACATCGGCTCCCTTCGTACATCAGCCTGTAGTATGTGTGCCATGCCTGAAATAAAAATTAATTACATACCACATCGAAAAAGCTTCACGTCGAGTACAAGTAGGGGGCGGGGCGAAATTATCATCAGTTTCTCAGCATAGTTCAAAGGACACGGCGGCGATGCATATGCTGTGTGTTGGAGCACTTCTTACCGAGGAGAAGGGATCTATCACCCTGGTGCATTAGTGAGCTGCAGTACACCTCACCGGTTCGTGGGGGGTGGCAAGCCCTTGGCGAAGAGCTTCGCATCTCAACACATCTAGACCACAATTCCCGCGTGCAAGATAGGATCGACGGTCCCAAATGAACCTCGTGTTGATCATGTGCTTGATGCACCACTAAGCAAATCAAGAAGGTCCAGAATATTCTGCGAACGTGACGCTACCACACCCTGAAGACATCATAGCTCTGCTATGGGGCCTGTGTGGCCACCTTTTCCCAGGACGCTGAGAAGTCTTTTCTTTTTCTCCTTCCAACGTCAGAATATCCCCTAACTGTAGATATTCAAAATCATATGAGGATTCTACGGGAGTTGGCTGACGACATTATGACATCCTTTCTTCCCTCGTCGCCCATGCGTAACTTCCCTGTCTCCTCGTCTACTCTATAATTCTCCTCAATAGCTTACATGGTGTGATCATCGCCGGTAGTTATTCCGCCGCAGTATGCGGTTCATCTCCACTTTTACCGTTTTTCGCCACTCCCGCCGGTACTGTACTCTTTCTATAACGGGCCGAAAGTGACAACTTCCGCAAGTACCCAACGGATATCCACTTGCCCTTATTCTCACTTAGGGCCATCTGAAGGCAGCTGAGAAGGGCTGCATTCTGCGTTGGCATGTCTACATATGAATTGCTGAGGAAACCTTCACTACACTAATATTGTTGCGCATCAACTTCAAGATTGTAGAGCTGGCAAGCGTTTGGTATGCTCATCTTCAGAGTCCCCACTAACGACAGATGTGACCTACTCTACGCCTTTCAGCCCCGAAAGCCCCGAAATTGATATTTCCCAGAGTCAGTTTGTACTGAAGCGGCAGGGCATACCAAGTAGCCAATCCAAGCTTTGCCTTGAAGCACGGAAGTCTAGACCGTCGTTGCATCCTGCCTCGTTTAAGATTTCTTTTCGCTGTCAACAAGGATTTAAGGGAGCATGTATACCGCATAATGACGAACGATGCCCAACCAATTGAAGAGGTTGAATGAAAGCTCATACGTGAATTACTACCCATCCAACAACAAACTCATGTGGCCATGATTGGTCATTTCTGGGCAAAGCTGCAGCCTCATGTTCCCTCGGGGACAACGTTGTCTATAGAATGCAGGAAGAACGACCCGGCGCGGCCCATCCAACCTTTTTACGTGAAATCTTGCCGCACTCCTTGAGGGCTCCCTTATATGAGGTGCGGGGTGTTCACTGAAATAAGGCTTGGCACTGGGTTCAGGATCCAAGCGGGAGGTTTGTAAATGTGGAAAGCATGTGAACAAGTATCTCAGCAAAGGTAAATTTTCAGCGTTCTCAAGCCGTGATAACAGCGACTAAGCGTCTTCACCGATGCATATTCACCCCTTAACTGAAGAAAGTATGACTCTGTGTATGAAAAAGGGGGACACACCTGGACTAGGGTAATTTAACTCACTATCGAGCTTTGAATTCACTGTCATATTCAGACTAATTTCCCCCATAGCATAATTACCGATTCTCTGGACACTCCCTGTGTATTGTATTATGCTGAAGTGTTGACTAACTGCCGAATCAGTGATGTAGTAAGCTTTACGCCGTAGAACAGTCATAGAGAGCAGATGAGTTTAAATATAGACTTCATTGACAAGAAATAGACATCAATCCATAGCTGTATAGTGAGTGATACTTAATATAATCCAATCCAATATTACCTCAAAACAAGACATTAATCACCCAATTCAGCTACCTGCATCTCTACGCATAATGAATTTGTAATGTTCCCTCCGTCGTCCACCAACAGAACTGCAGGGGGATGTTCCATTGTTGTATTATTGTCCCCTGACAAACTCAAGTGGTTCTCATGTTTAATTGATGCACTAATGACGTATTGATTCTTGTTGGCCAAAATCTTTGGATGAGACCGTACCGCAGCACGTCGTCCTGTTCATGCCTCGCCACTAACCCCGCTTCCAAACAACTTCAGGGAGTATATTGTTATCAGAAAAGGGGCACTATATCGTAATATTATGCGCCGGGGGGTTAGGAAGCTCGATACCGAGAGTCTATATAAAGGTCACTCATCACGCACGGTACCATCTTTCTATTTTAGTGGCAGTAGAATCAGGCAAATTCTCACAAAGATATCTAGTGTTGCTTCTAGGCAACGATATCGCCTTATCTAAACATTTAGCATTGACAATTATTGCTTCATTGCCCCCTTTTCGGTTTTCTTCGACTCTGAGACTTTGCACTGCACTTTTCCCTTATTCCCTTCCTAGCAGAATGAGAAACAAGTAAAAAAGATAAGAAAGAATAAAAACCTTCACCATGCCTGTCGACGCTTCAAACTTATCCAGTGAAAAGTATGGTTACGACTTTGTCGTAGCCACAACTCAAGCCAGTATTAATTCGGGGCTTCTGGCTTTCTTAGCTGAGGGCGGCCAACCAGTGATGTATTTTTGTTTCCTAATTGATCCCACGGCTGGAGCCCCGAACATCCAAGCCACCCTCGAAGAGGTCATAGAAAAGACAAATGGCGTGAATCCCTTCGATATCCCTGCTGGGACGCCTTATGATGATCCTAGGATAGCGCCTGTTACTACTGCCATGTTCAATATTGGAATCAAGATGCAAATTGGCCTCCCTCCAGGCATCTTACCCAAGAATTTACCGCCTATGGTGACGCTTGGAGATAGCGCTAGCGATGTAGCAGTGAAGCTCTACTGCTCACAATTCACAATCATTCAGAACACACCTCCAAGCGGCTGGGGAAATCCCGGCACTTGGAATGTTTGGACTCAACCACTGGGTACACCGTGGTACATCAATGCTGAAGTTGACCTCGTAATGGCAAATCTGGACAAAAGTCTGGACACCCCTTACTTCAACAACCACCCTGATGAAAAAGAGGCACTGAAGCGACAATTGGAAAATCTTTCGGCTACCGCTTTTAGCCTGCAGCAACTGCTATTCGACCTTGACAACGCAGCACTTCAGGATGTTCCATCTATTGGCGGCATACCAGCTGACTCCAACGCAGAGTATGTGCTTACGAAGACCTGGACAAATCTATACAGCAAAGCCGCTAAGGAGCGCGGATGGCCACTGCTATCAGTGTCCGCGACAGTGCAAACACCAGATCCCTCGCAACTTCAGATGACGGCGTTCGAGCGACGTATGTACCCCTGAAATCATCCTTTTCTACTCATCGCAATTTAGAGAAAATTTATCATATTGAAGCGTAGCCGATGTATCTAGGAGTATGCAGCAGTTCTAAGAGCCCATCTAGTTTTCCTCAAGGAGTAGTTACTAACTCTAGCGAGCTACAGAGGTTTCCCAACTCAAAGACGCCAACGGTGTGGTAATCAACAACCCCACAACGGAGCAAACAAATGTCACCACGCTAGACTACCTCTGCGCTGCCAACAACAACAAACTTCCGGGAACCGCAAGTTTTAGCTGGAACTGGGTGCTCCCAACGGAGGTAGATAATGAAAGCGGGGCGATCTCGGTCAACCGATCTACCCTGGCAGGTTAGTTCTCTGGAGTCACTTATTCTCCTTTTAGTCGGGTTTCGGGTCACATTCTTCCTGCTTACTCTCAAAATATTAACTGGGCACCTTTCCCTATCTGACATTTACTGACTCCAGTATGTTAAATATATAGCCCACTTCTTGCCCCAGATCATCCCGATAGCCAGAAATGGCATGATCAAAATTGAGCCCACTGCCACAGCCAACCCAATTTCCGTCTCAGGCAGTGTCTTACTGCATTTGACATCCTATCAAGAGCCCACCAAAGCTGAAGTCACTGCGTCAGGCGAGAATGTTATCCGCCTGGAGTATAACTGGAAGCAGCTTTCCGAGGATTGGGCCGGTGCTTCTTACTGCGGCGTTGAAGTGGCATCTACTTATGAATGCGATGTCAAGTTCATCAACTCTACTATCACGGTGGTCCAGCATATCAAGATTTACATGTGGCTGTGCTTCGATGCTACCTCCGAGGATTGTAACGTCTATGACATGACACGGACTGACACTTACACAACCTCCGTGTCCCAGACAGGCGGCTTACAGATCGCCTTCAGCGGCACGAGTCTGAGGGATGATTCGGAAAACCCCGATGCGGGTGGCTTTATCAACTTTTTTACTGGTATTGATACCGCAATTACTAGCATCAAGGACAAGCTGCATGATATTGAGCTCACCCAGCTAGATGCCGTCCCGTTCGACCAGTTGCAGGATTTCATCTTCCCGGGCTCCAAGGTGTTCACGTACAAGTCTGTCGACTTTTCCAACTACCAGGACCTGGTGTGTGCTATAACTTATGTAGACCCCAGCCAGTCGAAACGCAAGCTCCGTGAACTCAGGGCGACCGACGCCTCGGCTGCCGCGGGGGCGTCTCCTGGGTTTACGCTCACTCATTCTTCCGAGATGATGGAGAATTATGCCCAGGGTCAAATTGTATCGCCAACGGAAAGATTCGAAGCTCTCCAAGCTTCCAATGGCCTTGCGCTTCTCTTCTCCATCGACACTTCGGGAGCCTTGCGCGTCATCAAGGAGCAGAGTGGTAAAGCGAAGACCGGATGGGTTCTTAGCGACCTGTCTTCTTCCCTCATCTCATCGCAGTTCCCAGGCGCTAGCAATGTGAGCGTGGATACCTTCGATGCCGGACAGAGCGCGCTGGACGGGACTATCAGTCTCGCTCTAGCCATACAAGATGGCACCACAGATTACCTTTTTATCTCGCTGGGCAACAGTAGCTCCGATACATCGTGGACTTCTAACCCGTCCTGGACGCGCGTCAACTTTGATGCTGTTGCCGAAAATCCGTCGGCGATCTCGATTGTCAGCGTCATGTTCACCGAGACCATGTCCGGCTTCCAGTTTCTTATAGTGGACATCGACCGGCTCGGAGGCTCCAGTAAAAACATTGCTCGATATCATGTTGACCCGGCCAAGTCCACTGGGCGCTATTGGGTCAAGACGGATGTGCCGGTTGACATCGAAGGTGGAAGCTATCAGAGCTGTGTTGGCCAAGTCAGAAACGGCTACGTCGATGGCGTCTATACATCAGGGCAGACTGCTGGTGAAGCTCAACTGGTCTATGTACCCATTCAGAATGTCTTCGGCGAAGGCCCAGCTTTACCAAGACGCTTAGGCTTGCCTGGAGGGGCACTGCCGTCTTCAATCGCTACTGCTCGCTATTCGGATCCCTCGTCCGAGTTCTACACATCCACGGACCTCTTCGCTATTAGTGGTACAACGCTTTATCGATTCGCACCAGATAAACAACAAGATAGTGCCACGGCACAACCCCTTGTTGTCAGTGATACGTTATCTGGTACAGATCAGCTATTCGCCATGACCCAAGGGGGTGTGACAACCCGTAAGTCATTTTTTAACTTGGCACAGTGTCGTAGGCTAGGAAACGCAATTACTAACAGAAAGCTTAGTCTGGGGTACTAATTCAAGCAACGAGGTGTTCTACATCTCATGCCAAACATCACAACTCTCCCAGCCCGGCTCCTGGAGCGCAGTCGTACCGATTTTGAAAGGAATTGAGCACATATCGCCATACACCAACAAGATCGACGGAGGCAATACCGTCTTCGCTGCGGGCAAGGGTAAGTTCTGGCGCTTGGCACAAGCATCTCGCACGAATGCCAAGGTGTGGCGATCTCAGGAACTGGCGATTCCTGCGCCGGCGGATGTGAAACCAATAGCGTTTAACTCCTACACTACCACGATAGTAATCAACAACGACGATCAATTGCCCGTTGCGAATGCCAATGTGCAAGTATCAGCCGATTCGGCCACTCCGCTGTACATCAACGGTCTCTACTACGTCGTCGGTCCAACGCCTGTGAAAGTTTCTACGGATAAGTCTGGCACATTGACCATAGTCGAAGCATCTAACGACCTCAATGCTGCAATACTCACAGTTGCGATTGAGAATGATATTATCAGTTACATCATCGATCCGATGAACTATGCTTTTGACAAGATTGCTGCCCTCAACTCCGAAGATGCTCTTCGCAAAGCTTCGTACCCAACAAAGACTACGGCTGGAGGGTATGTCGGAGATCCAGGCTATGCCCCCCTGATTGACTCTTCAACAAGTCAAGGCGATCTGCAAGTAGTGGCCTCCAGGATGGGTAGCCTCAAGGGCGTATGGGACGGCGTGAAGCCGCCGTCTACCACAAGCGCACGGAGGTTGAAACAGACCCATCCAGAGGTAGTCCCCGCGACGCAGTTCCTCGCGTCTCCGCGATACAAGGATTTTCTAGACGATATCGCCATGGCAGCGGGTGATCTGTTCCAATGGCTCAAGTCCGGCGTTGAAGCCTTTATCGACATCATCCAGGACGCGGCGACAAATGCGTGGCACTTCATCGCTGAGATCGCGGGCAAAGTGTACCGCGCTGTACTGGACACGGTGGACGCCATCGCCGGCGCTCTCGAGTGGATATTCAACGTCATCAAGACGGCCATCGAGGACTTGATTGAGTTTGTCAAGTTCCTCTTCGCCTGGGATGACATCACGCGGACTAAGGACGTCTTGCACAACGTCTCGCGGCTGTACCTGCAGTACCAGGTCGATGGACTCGGTGCCGTAAAGACTCTCTTTGACAATGAGATCGTCGAGGTTGAGAAGACGCTGAGCCAATGGGCCGGATTGGGAGACTGGACGCCCCTAGGCGACGTAGCCTCGAAGCCGCCCGGCGTCAGCGCGACCAGTCCAGCGAAAGACCAGACAGCCTCCTCGATGTCCTTCGCAAACCACTTCAAGAACAACTTCGGCCAGATGACGGTCACAGAGACAAGAGCCACAGCTGACATAGTCCAAGACACCATTGATGCCCTGCTCACGGCCGTGTCGAATGAAGGGGCAGTGCTCAGCGCGGTATACACCAAGCTGCAAGAGGTAGCCACTAACATCACCTCGCTAAGTGTCACAGACGCCATCAAGCAGATCGCAGCCATCCTTGGCGAAGGCATGCTCTCATCCGCGCGCGTCGTCATCGACGCGCTGCTAGACGCACTCTCGGCCGTAGCCAACACCGTCCTCGACCTGCTCGACACCAAGATCTACATCCCCATCATCTCAGAGATCCTCGAACTCATTGGTGTGCCCAGCATCTCTTTCTTCGACCTGTTCGCCTGGATTGGCGCTGTGAGTTTCACCGTTGTCTACAAGATCGCCAACGGTGAGGCCCCGTTCCCCGACAATGACAACGTGAACGCGCTGAAGTCGGCATCAACCTGGGAGGACCTCGCGGGACTCTTTGGAAAGACCGTCGATGGCGCAGCTAAGTCCAGCGCCGTGACGCTTCCACACGAGCTCGCGAAGATTGTGCACATCGCCGGACATGCCACTTCTGGCTTTACCACCCTCGTAGGATGCTTCCTGGTCGGCTTCGAAGCAGAGTCTCCTACCGGCGACAACCCCTTCGCTCTACCAGCTGCGATCTTGGGTGGCGTAGGCTCAGCATTGTCCGGAGCAGCTGAGTTCCTCGTGCCCTCGTTGCCCGTGGAGAACACGGCCGTAAGCGCCGTAGCGAAGGCCTGCACGGCAGCGGGCCTCGTGTCCACCATTATCTTCAGCGGTCCGGTACAGGGCAAGCTGGCCGTCGCGGGTAGTGGCTTCTCGGCGCTCGCCGTCAACGACGGGCGCGCCACGAGCGCCATTGTTGACTCGATCCTCGTCATCCCGGAGCTATTTGTCACGGGCTGGCACCTCTATGAGCTGAGCCAGAAGCCCGCCAGCACAGAGCAGGCTGCGGCCATCGTGGGCGAGGTGGCGAACCTGACATCCGATGGGGCGAGGATCTCATATGCTATTGCAGTCAATATCAAAGAACCCCTCATGAAGCAGAGGGCCATTATCGCCATGCTAGCTTGTAGGGTGGTTACCGGTGGGTTGCAAACTGCGGAAGCCTTTTTGGTAGAGTAAGTATGAGCGGAATGCGTCTTGATTGATCGATCGGTAAAAGCGTATAGTGAGTAGGTTCGCAGATGGGTCACGATGGCTCCGCATGCAACGCTAAATTGTAGTGATTGAACACTAACTATGACTTTCATTTCCTTCATTCGATATATCTCTGCACCTATGATAATCCGTGCAGTGCAGAGGATGCGGAACAGACAAACCGGTTGAGGCCATAATAGGTATTGAGGACTAATCACATGTAAGTTGGGGGATCCTGAAGAATGGAAATTTAATGATTCAGCCAAGAACATGGGTATTCTGCAGGACCGTCCAAATCTCATATCTTATAACGCTTAACTATTCTCCTCGCGCAGATCCTCGCCTACATCTAGCAGAGTGACTTAACAGTGGATGGAGTGCCTAGGTATAATATGTTAGTTCTTATGAGTTGATCATTTCATTATCTTTCATGACGTCCCTAAGCAGTGGTTTCGATTTTCGTGTAGGGCTATCAAACCGCAGCTTTTGCGCCACGTCATCTAGCATCTCGTCGTCATGCTGACACTATAGAGCTTGACCTGGGCGCAGAAGAAACGCAGTAGAAACTCTTGAGGTTGGTCAATTGTCGTTTCATTGTTACCCTACCGTATATCCTTTAGCGAATCAAGCGATGTGATGAGCTTACCCCTATCTACTACTACCAATCATTGTCTTGCCCGCCATGCAGCAGTTGATGAGTGTAGCAATTGATGATCGTGTGCCTACGAAGTAGTATCATGTTATTCATGTGATCGAGAAGATAAAGAGTTCAAATATTGGAATGATTGCGACTTCTTCATTTCTCGCGGACCTCCTGTCTTGTACTACGTTCAACATATCCCCGCAAGCAAGAGATAAAAAATAATCAAAGATGATATCCCTCCTAATGGAGAAGTCGATGGGTATTGGATTTATCCATTTGGCTTGGGGAAGCTTTCTACTATGGTATCTGATTTCGTCCATCATCACCTGGTACAGGCTGCGACATGTTCCAGGGCCGTTTCTAGCCAAATTCTCCTATTTATGGCTTGCCAGGACAGCAGGGGGTACTCAGCAACGGTACGTATTAAAGCCTACTGTGCTGACTGTGAGACATTGGTCTTATCAGAAAGTTTTATTGTTTTCCAGAACTTACTATTGCCACAGTATGTCATGACATCTTGAACCCAAAAATGTGGTTACCATAATTGCGAAGTATGCTGCTAACAGACTGGGCTAATCCGCTTTTGACATACAAGACTATGTCTATCGAGACCTATGCAAAATGTATGGTCCATTGGTCAGAATTGGCCCAAACGAGCTAACAACGGATGATCCTGAGTTCTTAAAAAGAGCTGCCGCTGTTAGGGGCGTGTACGGTAAGGGTCGGTGGTATGTAGGGACCAGGTTTAATCCGTACCGCGATGTGATGTTTACTACACTGGATATTCCAGCACACGACAAGTTGAAGTCTCAAATAGGAGCATCATTCAAGGGGCGAGAAATCCCACTTCTTGAGCCTGGAATGGATGAGCAAGTGAAAGCACTGATTGCCAATATTCGACAAAACATGTCGAGCAATCCCTCCAGTGTTATCGACCTAGCTCCCCTAATGAGCTACTTCACGATGGATGTGATCACAAAAGTAGCCTTTGGACAAGAATATGGGTACCTCAAGGCTAATGAGGACCTGTATAGCTTTCTCAAGGAGGTTCGCGATAATTGGCCAAAGTTTGCCTTGATGGTTGACATCCCGCTTGTTCGAGATATTCTGCTCAACCCGGTGTCATTAAAACTTTTTGGCCCATCAGTGACTGATTCCCAGGGTATGGGCAAGCTTATGGGGTAATAGGATATATACGCCGGTGAAAATGTGTAGTTGGCTGACTAATTTCACAGGATAGCACGAGAATATGTTAGCAAGAGATATGATCCAGGCGCAATGGTTCAGAGAGATCTCCTGGTAAGTCTCGCTAGTGAAATCGAAGTTTAGAACGCTTATCTAACAGGTCCAAAGGGCTCATGGATCCGTAATGGCCTAACCAAAGATCAAGCTGAGGCAGAAGGTCTATTCTTGATTATCGCGGGGTCCGAGACAACGGCCTCGGCTCTTCGTATTACCATGCTTCATATCATAACATGCCCTCGAGTATATATCCAACTCAAGCAAGAGATACGTGATGCGGTGATCGATAGAAAAGTTGACAGCCCGATCAAGTTTGAAGAAGCCAAACGGCTGCCGTATCTTGAGGTGCGTTTCTAAAGACTTCATATAAAGTAGTGGCTGATGCGCCATTAGGCTGTTGTATATGAGGGGCTTCGAATGCGTCCACCTGTTCCTGGTCTCTTTCCTAAGTCAGTTCCACCAGAAGGCGACGTGGTAAATGGAAGTTTTATACCGGGCGGTACGGTGATCGGGATGAACACGTCGTCTATCTTCTCGTCAACTGCCCATTTTGGCGAGGACGCAGCCATTTTCCGGCCAGAACGCTTTTACGAAGCCGATGATCAGAAAAGGACGGAGTTGGAAAAGATGGTGGAGCTTGGATTTGGTTACGGTAGATTTCAGTGCTCGGGAAAATCAGTAGCATTCATGGAATTGCACAAGGTTTTGTTCGAGGTTCGTACTTGGTTTATGTGAGAAGTCTATGGCTGGACTGACGCCCTCGTCTAGTTGCTTCGCACTTTTGACTTCCAAGTGGCCAGGCCAACTAGTCCGTGGAAATCTCGGAGTTATAGTGTTTTCATCGAGAAGGATATGTGGGTAAAGGTATCCGAGGCGGAAAAGATTAACTGATAAGTTGCTGCGCACCGAAATGACATGGCACAGGTGGTGTCGGACAGAGATCTCCATAATACTGTTTGCTGGACGGAACAAAATACCGTCACACGCTTGTCCCTGGCTGTCCATAACGTTCGCCAGCCTTAAGATGTCACTTGTTTTCTGTTGCTGCTTTTACGATATGGGAGGTTATACTGCTGTTTTTCCATAATTTCTCGTTCCGGCTCGTTGGCTCAATCCTGGGCGCTATCTGACAGATGCTTCTATTATATCGTTTTTGCCTGGCGCAGTCGTCACCTGTATCATTCTGAATAATAACCTGTTTATGATGATCTCACGGCCTTAGGGCTACTATTATAAGCCTACAGCTACAGACGATCATGCAACAATAAGTGTCAATATAGTACCGCACGGTTGCTGTTCCCGCACTGTCTGGTCTTTCTGAGAAGAATTTAACTTTCTTTGGAATATCAATGATTCATACGCTACTACTATAATGTAGATAATTCCTAGTACTTATTTGAAATTATTCTACTATTAAGACACCCAAATTATTATCATTAATAGATCACTTATTTTATCTCACTCAAAGCAATCTTTGAGGCGTATTAGCAAGTGCCTCCGGTATTCAGTTTTGGCTGCTCCCTTTTATTTCGCCTCCTTCCAGTTAATAACCCAGTTCCCTTGTATGCCATGTATTCAAAAAGCCACCACTCAGATGGATTCTTCCAGGTAGGGTTTAGGTCTTCAAGCCTTTCCCCTTTTTCTTTCCAATTTTTATCGCTTCGCATATCTTCGATCACCTTTGTACGCCAGTAGTTGTACACCTGTCCAATAGATCCCAAGAGTTTCTCGAGATTGAAGGCGATAAGCAAGGTTACCAAGCCAACAATTACCGAGGTGATAATAAAGGGGTTTCTCGTACTACCTTCATTAATATTTGGGATGGCCCAGAGCGCCTATCCAGTTCTAAATCAGTATTGTTCACGGGACGGTTATGCGAAAACGTTCGTAAATAATAAGAGAGTAAGTTTGTGGAACTGACAGCACAATATGCTAAGGGGAGATAAAAGATGCTGACATATGTGAGCAGCATGACATTTTGTCCCAGTCTAGTTGAGATTCTGGTCTCCGTGATTGAAGCCCATGCAAATTCCTAAAGATAATGATGAGCTCCGGTCTCTCAAGAAGGCAGTCAAGTACACTCACAATTTGTAGGAGATCTCTGCTTGTTTGGTCTAATTGGCCGATACGGGTGTTGGTGTTTTGTTCAAATTCTTCTATAACTGACTGTAGGTCCTCAGGGGTATTATTTGCGTTGAAGTATTGACAGTAGTCCGTAACAAACTCCTTCGCACCACGGACCTGATCTTGCAAGATGCTTCGAAGCTCAACCCATTTTTGCGCATCCTTTGCGAGACGACGCATCAGATCGGGACTTTTGCCTTCGGATCGAAGCTGATCAAGACGCTAGATTGGATTTCTAGTTAGTATGCACCATTAATGTGGTTAGTAGGGTTGGTGTTGCTGGTAGCTCACGCTTTCAGTTAGGTGCTTGTCAGCCCGCTGACATAGGTCTAGCCATATTCTACTTAAATAGAGTAGAAACTGCTTGAAGAAATCAAGACCGTCGCTTGGTATCCAACCATTTGGCAGCATACTGAAGTAAGCCATTGACCTCCATGGCTCGTTATTTGGATCTGTAGGCCTTACTATCTTCCAAGCTATGCTGCATTTGACTCCCTCAAGCATACTAAAGTGCTTGCTCGATAGGCTCTGATCGTAGGGAAACCAAATAGAAACGGAAACATCAACGCCATGACCACCATCCCAGTCGTAGAAACAAGTTCGCAACGTATTAGGCGCCAGACGCTGTTTCGGACTGATTATTGGCACCTTCAACCAGAAAGACTCATCCGCACATGCACTGGGGGATGTTAGGAGCTATAGGCATAAAAGGGGCATAACATACAATAGGTGCTTTTCGTTCTTAGGATACGCTAAGGGTAATTCCTCCCCCGGTACGAACCGCACACTTATCATTTTATCATGATCTTCAGATAGCTGAAGAACATCTGTCGGTTCTTTCCTATATGTAGCACGCCATTGTTCGATTGTGATATCTGTCGGCTGTGCCATATATTCAAGCAGTGTTTCAACGAGCTGGGGATCCTTGCGTTGAATAGCTAGCCGGAGCGGAGTCATACCCCTCTTGTCGCGAGCATTGACATTAGACCCAACATAGAGAAGAAACTCGACCAGCGCCGGCTTCCTTTCCTGGATGGCGATATGCAATGTGATATTATCTTTCTGAGCGAGGTGCTTCGCCACTTTCTCGTGCCTCTTTTCCGCTGCATACCAGAGCGGTGTCCGTTGGTTGTGATCCCAAGTAACTGGGTTAGCACCGCCCTTCGCAAGCAACAGACTTACCACTGTTTCGTGGCCATTCTCTGCAGCCCAGGACAGGGGCGTCCGGCCATTCGAGTCCTGGAACTCTAGATCGAGTGTCTCGTTTTCCAGCAGCAAGCTTGTTATTTTACCATCGCCGTTTTTTGCAGCCCACAATAATGGCGTTTGTAGATTTCGTGTTTTGAAGTCTGCATGAACGCCGTTTTTTGCAAACAGTAGACTTGCTATTTCACTATGTCCATTTTCCATAGCCCATAATAGCGGTGTCCGGCCGCTCGAGTCTTGGGGGTTTGGATCAATGTCAGGTTTCTTCAGCAGAGCCTCTACTATTGACCTATAACCATACTCAGCGGCCCACGATAGAGGTGTTCGGCCGCCCGAGTCCTTGGTATTTGGATTGACGCCGTCTTTTGCGAGCAATAAACGCACTATCTTGCTTCCATCCTGGCCATTATCCGTAGCCCAAGATAACGGCGTCCAACCGTTTTCATCTCTGGAATCTGGGTCGACTCGGGTATCTGCGAGTAGCAGCTTAACCACTGCTTCGTGTCCCTTTCCTGCGGCCCACGATAGGGGTGTCCGACCTTCCTGATCCTTATAGTCTGGTACAATGTGGTCTTGTGCAAGCAGCATCTTCACCACTGTTTCGTGGCCACCTGCAGCAGCCCATAATAACGCCGTACGGCCATCTCCCACGTCCTTCTCATTGACATCTGCGCCCGCTGTCAACAATTGGTATACCACACTTTTCTCTCCTTCTTTCGCGGCCTCATGTAGAGGAAAGTGCATAGCCATTTTCTAGATTTGATTGGGTTAGTGAGTGGACCTGCGACGATGGCTGCCGCAGAGATGAACAATAGAATGTACAAGTCAAAGCCACAAAGAGTCAGGACGAGGCGAACCCAACTATATTGGAGTATAAGTCAAGAAAACGAAACAGAAATGTACGATATTTTACGATATTGTCCCGATGTAAGGGCATCCTCGTGGAGAAGATGGGTTACGCCATAATTTTACGGCTACGACATGCTGACCATCAGCAAACGGCAACAAATCCCCTCCAAAAAGGATTCCATCAGGGATGCAATACTTCTCGTTTAGATGATTATCATGATCACGATAGGTAAATAAAGGTGCAGTTATGGTGACAAAACCTTGAGGCAGGGTAGGTAATGAGTTTTTCATTTCAATTACACGTTAGGCGAAATAAGCCGCCACAAGACCGATTGGGCTAGGAGCATAAGCCGTGATAGCGTTTATGTATGTCTTTCAGGCAGAAGACCTAGGTAGGAGTTAGGGTGCCATGACCAGAGGGGGCATATAGTCAGGTTAGGTTCGATTCCTTTCAGCGCTATATGGTTATTCGCTTTTGGCTCATCTGTAGGAAGCAGTCATTATACTTATATACCCATGTATAGAGGCCATGTACCTACCTACTTCAATCACACCCTCGACCACACACAAGACAGTCTCATTAGTATTATAGATGAAATGATCCTTGTTACACTCTCTTTAACAAATATATATATATAGAGTAGTTAAGTGACTATTAGTAATTGGCGAAAAGTCCCACGACTACTGGACAACGCGTGGTATAAGGCTGCAAACCTGGGATGCTTTAGATAAATATCAGCGACAGGGCAATGGGATCTCATGAAAGCTGATCTGAAAGTATGGTATATCTATACGCGGATCATAGGTTTTACGGCTTCCCCCATTTTAAGCCAGAGTAGTATTTGGGGGAAGAGTCCAGGAGCTGTGTAAATGGGACACATCCACAGGCCCTAACAAAAGGCATGCTCTTCGCCGCGTCATCCGTAATACATCATACTACGAATGTCGTCTGTTGATATGTAAATTAGCAGTCTACTCCTCTGAGAATACAATCTATGTATGCCAGATGACGGTTGAACTCTCGTGGCCGATGCAGTGTAATTCGTCTATTGCGGTAAATAGGGATGTATGCTATCTGTCACGGAATGACATAAGGAGTGCAGTACTATGCCACTACGCCACCAAAAGGTAACGACGAGTTATCAAGTCGAAGGCTTGACGTCTCTGCACTCACTATATAGTACTGTACTGTGACACTATCTAAGCTATCGTGGGTATTTTATTCTACACCAGAAAACGCTGATTCTTCCCCCCACCACTTAAGAAACTCCTGCATCCTTTGGGTTCTTTCCTCTGCTAGTTGTCGTCCGATATCTGTCTTCATCATGCTCTGAAGCTTCAAGAGCTTGTCATGAAAGTGTTGAATCGAGTCAGCCATGGAAGCCTTGGTCCTCGCTCCAGTGAAGGTGAAGACTCGGCCGATACCGATGCTTCCAATGGCGTCAAGACGATCAGCGTCTTGAACAACAGCAAGCTCTGGGTACAGCTTGATGAGCTCCTGGACGCGAGCGGGATCCTTGATCTCGCTGGAGTAGCTGACACCCAGGCAGACGGTCTGGACTTTCTTGGCTAGTTCTTCAGAGGCGCCATACGAGATGAGAAGGTCATTCACTAGGCACGAGGCATCTTCTCCTGGCTTTAGGTACTTTTTATCGCCGACATCATGAAGTAGGGCGGAGAGAATGACGACTTGCGCGTCTCTCTCGGATGCATTGTCGGCATGGGCGTGGATGTACTTGGCAAGGCCGAGGACACGTTGAATATGATTGAAGTCATGCGAACCATCGTAGTTTGCCATGTAAGCCTCTACATACTTGGTTACGGAGGTGATGAGTCCCTCGTTTCCAGGCGCGTCTATTGAAGCCATGGCGATCCACTTATCTGCACAGACAAACGAGCGACAGTTGCGTTAGCGTGTGAAATTAAGCGCTCGCAGGGACCCTGGCTGGTGGGAACAGCTCACGAGACTACTGCTTATGAAGGTTATACAGTAACGAAGGCGATATGCTGGGGGGGGGGGGGGGGGGGGGTTGGCGAATACCCGTTTGGGAAAGTATAAACCGAATAAAACCGGCCACTTTTAGGGGATTGGCATTAATTTGGTAAAAA